AATGGGTCGACTCGACCGGGGAAAATATCACGCCCTCACAGAATACCAGCGCAAAATAGAATCGTAATGCTGCTGTGTTCCGTATGGTGAGTGTACAGATCCGGATACCCTTTTTATTGGAAACGAGGCATTCCAACTTAGTCCTCGGGGGTGACAACGCATTTGCATTTAAATCCTTAGTTGAAGATAAATGTGGATGTTTATGGGCCACAGCATTCACTTACCATCAGGTGGTCTGTGTGCTCGTTTGTCATCAACGCTATAAAAAAATCTCTGGGCCGGGCTACCCAGTGCCAGCCGAGCGAATCGTCGGCGACCGAGCTCTTTCTGGCTTGACTCGCTGGGACTGCGAAGAGATATTGCATCTCTTTGCATATGTTATGGCATCTACCACGGGGAGTGCTCTAAGGAATTGTTCGGACCAGCCGCTCAATTTCACCATCGCAAATCGCGACAAAACTCGCGATACCATTCATACCATCTGGATGATTAGCTATCCACCACTGCGCGATTTACAAGAAGTTTTCTTTCTCGCACAAATTCCCTGTGAAATCGACTACCACCGGCGATTTTCCGACCGATACGGCTTAGCGACCTTCAAGAAAAGAGCTTACATTTTTTTAAAAGCCGGCAACGTACCTGTGGTTCCGCTGATGTTGCAGTTGTTTATGGGTGGCGGTCAACACTTACCATCACCCTCGCATAAATGTATAGAATTTGAATAGGCCCGATAATCGACGCTACAAAAAGTCTGACGTGTGCAAGCATATGTTGCAGTGTTTCATATTTGCGCTTTAATTTGAGTAAGTTATTGCAGTAATTTCGATATCTTTTAAACGTTGTTGAGCAAAACTGCGGCTATATTATGGTTGTAGCAATGAATGGATTGGCTTGATCAAAGTAGGACCACGCTCTCACAGAATACCAGCGTGAAATAGCAGCTTAATGCCGTTGTGATTCGTAAAGTGAGTGTAGAGATCCAGTGATCCTTTTTATTGAAAACAAGGCATTCCATCTTAGTCCTCAGTGGAGACAACTCGTCTGCATTTTGATTCTTAATCGGCAATAACTGTAGATGTCTATGGGCCACAGTATCCACTTACTGTTACTGTTACATGTGGACTGTGTGCTTGCTTAACACCATTATTCTACTAAAAATAAAAACCAGGCAAGTGCGTGTCGTGTCACACACAATGTAGAGGTAGGTATCCATAGTTGTCCGTTACAACACGTGAACTTAACATGAGTCTTCTTGATAGTATGAACATATTAAGTGAGTCCCCGGTTTGACCGCTATAAGGCCATAACGATCTTGGCGATCGATTATCTCTGCCTACCCCGCAAAGGAAAAAATAAAGCTGGGCTGAGCTTTAGTAGCACAGATTAAATAATAGTACCACGTACAAAAGTTGCACTCCTTTGATGTTGACTGCTTGCCGATGTTTTTAATAGCCTACATAATTATTCTTAATTAGATAAATCGCGCACGCACATAAATCTAAACAAAACTTTATCACTATGCGCGTGTGTCCATATTACTTTGCATTTTTCCCCTTCCTACGACAAACTTTCCATGGTTATATTGAGGGCTGTCATTATAGAATAAAAAATACATTGCAAAAAATGGTAAATTACTTAGGTAAGGAACCTATTCTGACTAGATTGACTGACACTATTTTCGCTACTTTGTGAGTTCTGTAATGCCCAACGCATGAAATCTGCAAGGCTATTCGTCGCGAATCGCGATGCTTGCATATGTAGGTAATATTACACATCCGTTTTTTTAAATTACATTAAAACTTTGTCAATTATTTTATCCTACAATTAAATATACCAAACACTAAACAAAAACTATTCACAAAAAAAGATTTACGTAAACAGTGAAAAAACTTTAAAATTCACTCGCCTAGAGTGCGCTAGCCCCGACGCGTGTACATAACCTGGGTACATAAGGGCCGATCATCATTATAATGCCGTTCACAGTTCGTTCTCGGTCTGATAAAATATTATCAAGTAAAAATTATGTGTGTGCATTCATACTATCCGTAACAGTCAAGTTTCGGTCGAATACCAGTCCTTTACAATAAATAAGACCGAAATCGGACCGGGAACGAACTGTGAACGGCAAATGAGGATCGGCCCTAATTGTTTATTATTTTAATTGGTACTCAGCGAAATTAAAAGTGGCGAAAGATTATCGACCATAGAATTGGTTATATAGTTTTAAGGATTTCGGTATTTCAACAGAGAACCAAATAAAATACCTTGCAATTATTATGAGTTCCATACAGTTATTGGCGTACCAAATCTTGTTATATGTAGGTATGTACGTAAATGGATTTCGATACGTGAAAGTGGTGTAATATTGTGTATTGAATGATACGTAAGTATAGTAAGTAGCATGGAGTATAGAGATAAGGAGGAGAATCTCCTCGCATCTCTTTGCAGCGCCAGTGAATCGAGCCGATCGGAAAGCACTCGGTCATCGACTCTTCGATCCGAGTCGAGTCAAGTGGAAGGAGCTGGCACTGGGGAGCCCCAGCCCAGAGATGGGAAGAGTATTCCATGTGCGGCCGAACCTGCGCCTTGTAATGTTGCAGGTGGTGTATCGGCATGAACTACTGTCCCGCTATGCTGAGCACGCCAAGCTTCTTAGAGGCCTATTTGGCCTTCTCTTCCAAGTGACCACGAAACTGCACGTCGTATGTCATATGTCAACGTCGCTGAGGATTCCGATACTCGCTGCGGCAACAAGGGGAGTGCCTTGAGAGGAAATACGACAAAGGGGTTCTTTTTAGCGGTAAATGCGCTAACTTGTGTCTTCTGAGGATTAAACTGGACTGCCTCGTTAGTCTAGTGGTTGCAGTAGTGCGACTGCTGATCATGAGGTCCTGGGTTAGAAACCGGGTCGGGCCAAAAAATTAATTATTGAGTTTCTCTGTCAAGAAATTCTCAGTAGCTGCCCGGAGTCAGAAAGTTGGCGGTACCTTACCCCCGTGCCTTGGAAAGCACGTAAAGCCGTTGGTCCTGCGCCTGATCTCTCTCCGGTCGTGTCGGTTTACCGTCCCATCGGATTATGAGAGTGAGGGAATAGAGAGGGCACCTGTACACTTGGGCACTGTAATCCTGTCCTGCGCCGATGGCTAGTCTCTGTAGAGGCAGGCCGCCGTGGCCGAAATTCGGTCTGGAGGACATTATTAAACTGGACTAGATTTAGTCGCCTCCAATCCGAGACTTTGTTCAACAAAGACTTGACTTCAGACACAAGTAAGTCCCGGTACACGGAGACGTTTTCCCGAGAAATATGGGCACGTCCGGTGTACAGAGCATCACCAATGCTGTCATCTGCAATATATTATTGATATGCAAAAGAAACTGCGTTCGTGATAGCACGCAGCCTTGTGGAACACCAGCATTAATAGGCTTTAATCGAAGCTTGCAACGTCTACCTTAATTCCTTAATTACCTTGATGCTCCGATCTGAAAGAAAGCTGGTAATCCAATTGCACAATTTCTCGGGAAGCTCACAGGAAGGGAACTTCGAAAGAAGCGCTTTGTGCCAAATCCAATCGAAAGCCTTCGCAATGTCCAAAACGGCCAATGCCCTTGGACTCTACTGCCTCCGCCCATCTATGATTCATGTAGACCAGAAGATCACCAGCTGATCGGTTGATCGGCTGGCGATCACTAATCAGCTGGTGATCCTCAAGGTACCTCATGAGCTAACTGTTTACAATGAACTCAATTGCTTTGGATAACAAGGAGCTGATGGCGATAGGCCTATAGTTGGACGGTTCTGAGCGGAACTTTATACAGAGTTTGTTCTTCTGAAACAGAAACAGAAACAGAAACTTTTTTATTCAATGTAGATTATAACAATACTTATTGAAAATCACATTTTTCATTTACCACTGGTTCGCAAAAAAAACCTCTGTCCTGGGAAGAACCAGCAAGAAACCCAGCGGGACTATTTTTTTTCCAATAATAGCTTACAGTCATGTTTACAATTACCAACACAAGACAAATTAGAAATAGCTTGGTAGCGATCACCCTTCCTGGGGGTTATTATCATCCATAAATTCCTTAATATTATAATAACCCTTTTTATACAAACTTAGTTTAATAACATTTTTGAACTTTGTGTATGACAAATTTTGTATATTTTCTGGGATTTTGTTGTAAAAGCGTATACATCGCCCCAAGAAGGAATTACTGACTCGGTGGAGTCGAGTAACTGGTACTATTAGCTTGTGTCTGTTCCTAGTATTTACAGAATTATAATTCTAATCTCTACACTCCATACATAGTAGGTTTATTAGTTATACTACAGTTAAATGTCTGCTCATGTCAACTATTAGTAGAAACGATGAAACAAGCGCTTTGATGGTGATATAAGTCTCAAGTTATTTTGTCGCACGATTACTTAGACCATAAGACTGTCTACTGAAGGTCTGCTGACTCAAACTGCCATCAAATTTTCTCAAATACTCTGCAATGTGATGCTTCAACAAATCGTACGTAATTTTTTTTAATTATTTGTAAAGAAGTCTTTAAATAAAATTATTATAAGTAAATAATTATAGGTGATTTATTATTACTCGACACTTCCAAAAGTAGCGACAACCGTACCGTACGCACTACGCATCCATTCCACTTATCAGAAAGAAAAAAAGTCAATTCGAGAACTGTCAATGTCAATGTCATTTAAAAGATAAAAGATAAAAAATAATTTTAATTTTATTTCTTCTTTCTTCATGTACTCAATAAAATTCCTGAATTTTGTTTTGTTGTCAATTTAGTGAACGATGCAAGTACAAGGAGTGGTGGCTTAGCCTAATCTTACATGCGCTAAATACGTAGTGATTTTATACGCTTTTCTTGCATTTCTTCCCACTGTTTTTTTTTTGTGTTACATTTTATTATAGGTACTGATCATCAATTGATATTAGCATTAAATAGATCGCCAATATTTTGAAGCTAAAAATATAAAATTAATTAATATGCCTGAAGAAAAGAAATCGAAGTAAGTACTTAGACAAGTTGTGCGGTTAACCTTAATACATGTACGTTATCAAGAGATGTGCTTTTCATTATAGTCGAAAAAATGAACCTAAAGAACAAAGGAGGTCTAGACGGCGAAACGATCAACAAGTTGTGAAAAGAGAGGAAAACCAGCAAACGTCTAAACAACCAGAGATAAATCCCAAAAGTAAGATTAATATATTATTCACATGGTTTACAACAAATTCTCCAATTTTTTAGTACTTAATTGTTTTAAAATTCCACAAAAACCCTTTCATTTTATCATTATTATGTAATGATGTCTGTCACATTACATAAACTAAAAAAAATCTGTATATAGATATCTATAGTTATTCAGAAAAATACAAGAAGTGAGTAGAAAAGATAAATTATTGTCCTATATTAGATTACAAAGACAACATTATGCAACTTACAATGATCTTTGAAAAGTATTGGCTATTCATTGAACAGATCTATTTGATGTCGTAGTTTACACATTTAATATTTTTTAATCTATACATATTATACTAAAAATGAAAACTGCAGATGTCTGGCCATTTTATATTTTTATAACAAAATTGATTGAGAGGGACTAAAAATAACTAACTGAATACATTTCTATCATTTTTAGAATTGTCTATTTGTCTGTCTGTTTGTTTGTTAACATATCAATAACATGTATAAAGTACTGATTTATATCAAAATAATCGTTAGGAAAATTGTGAAGCATATCTTCGTTTTAAATTTAGTCTTTGTTTTATTAAAATCGGTTCATCCTATCAAAAGTTATGCTTAATATTCTGAAGTATGGGTACGAAATAGTGGTATGAATTTGTTCTATGGTAGCGTTGAGTGATCAAGGACATTTTTGTTATTAAATAATGTAAAATAGTGTTCTATAGTGATATAATTGTATTTAAATGCAGTAAACAAAAATAACAAAGAATAATGTAATATATATTTATAAAAAATATATAAATCCTTATATTTTTGTTAAAAAAGTACAATAGTTAACCAATGTCATCGATAGATGGTTTTGTGCAAATTATTTATAAAATTTTAAGATATGCTTATAATTTTTTTTCTTAACCGCCGAGTACCTACGACATGGTAAATCAAGTTTTTAAAAGCTATTAACTTTTTTTTTGGTTTTGGCAATGATCATTTCAATCATATAGAAGTTTGGCAGTAAACATATTATACTTCCCTTTTGCACTTCCAAAAGTTTTAAAATTTACATTGTTGTGAAATTGAAAAATTACGTTACCTGATTTTGAGTTTTTCTTATATTATTCCTACTGGTTCTTTTCTAAATATCATACAATTTTTATTTTACTGTAATAATTAATTAACTACTATAATTTTATACAAACTAAATATGAAGGACACATAATATGTAAATAATTATTTTGCTTGCTGCTTTTAACGCAAATGCAATCTTTGTATTCAACCAGCAAATATGTTTCTTCCATAATATCCAATAACCATTACAGCATTTCCCACTGCTGAACATAGGCCTCCCCATTGATTGCCTCATATTTGGCATCAATGATTTATACAACTCAATGTTTGGTATTAAGTAATTAGTCCGAGGTAGGACGTGTACCCCAAAAGACTTGGTGTGATAGTGAGCCAGTGTTGTGAATATTATACAATAAAAGTTCTACAAGTAATAAAGTGCATATTATTAATTTATGATTTTATTTGCTTAGTTAGTAGGTACTTAAAATTAGACAAAATTCTTATTTTATTTTAGAAGTATTTTTTATTTCCTTTACAAAAAGCATTTATAAAATTTAATTTGCCGTAAAGTTAGTTTTGCCATTTACTGACAGATGTCACTGTTCACTGCATATATACTATAATATACTCTTTATATTCTGAGTCATAGATACTAAACTACACTGAGTGACGACCTAAACCGCTTGAAGTAGATATCTAAAATTTGGACTGTAGTTGTACCTTTTATGATGTAGAAATCCGCTATAAAATCATTTTGGAAAATTCGATCCCTGAGAGTGTAAAATAAGGGTGTTATAGTTTATTATTTTATTACAAAGATATTTTATTGACTCGATAATTATTGAGAGTACTGTATTTAAAAAGTAAATAAATATGTATTTTGCAATTTCAAAATAACCTGTTATGGTAGAGGGCGCAGGGGCAGAGGGTATGCAAATTTTGTATGGATGTAAAATATTTTGGTATTTCTTAAAACAACCTCTTACCGGGGAAAGGATAAGTGTAGATAATGTTTAATTCGAAGGGAAAAAAAATATTTCATGCTTTAACCCTTTCGCTGCTCACACGTATATATTCGCAAAAACTTGTGTATTCTGGTTTGTTTAGTTTTAAATTAGTTACTCTCAATACGACTATTTTTACTATGTATTATTCATGTTTTAAAAAAATAAACTGCTAGCAATACTTAATTTCTTTAGGGAAACGTGTAAGTAATTAAATAATAAAATTTGCCTCTTACGGATTTAAAACAAGTGTTCAAATTTTGTATGAAAAATATTGTATTAAATCTACAGTTCTAACCGCAGGATGTAGATGCGTGAAATTGGTACAATAACTTCCTTTTATTAAGTAAGCATCCACTAAGAAAGAAGTTTTAAAAAATTAAAATCCTTAGATAGTAAAATAAGGTTTTAAGAATGTTTTTTACGGGGTGATTTCATATTTCTATAGGGAAACATTATTAAATGATTATTGTAACTTTAAAATTAGTACAAATACTTTGGGATTAAAATAGGTAATGCAATTAGTTTTTTTTATAATTTCTTCATCATCATCATCATTACAGCCCTTCACAAGTCTGAACATAGGCCTCCCCCAAGTAATGCCACAAAGCACGGTCCTGAGCCACCTGCATCCATCGACTTCCTGCATATCTTACCAGGTCGTCACTCCATCTAGTGGGGGGTCGCCCTACACTACGCCTACGGGTACGAGGCTGCCACTCGAGAACCTTTCTTCCCCATCGGTTATCGGTTCTTCGAGCTATATGGCCGGCCCATTGCCACTTCAGCTTACTAATCTGTTGGGCTATGTCGGTCACTCTGGTTTTACTGCGGATATCCTCATTTCTGAGTCTACCACGCAGAGGAACTCCGAGCATAGCCCTCACCATAGCTCGCTGAGCGACCTTGAGCGTCCTCATACGGCCAGCAGTGAAGGACCACGTCTCAGATCCGTAAGTCATCCTGGCAACACGCACTGGTTGTACAATTTAGTTTTTAGAGATTGAGGTATACCTGACGAGAAGATATGTCGTAATTTCCCGAACGCTGCCCAGCCGAGTTGAATCCGTCGATTGACCTCTCGGTCGAAGTTGGACTTACCTAGTCGGACTATTTGTCCCAGGTAAACATACTCGTCAACAACTTCGAGCATAGTGCTCCCAACAACTACCGGCATAGGTGTGACATGGACATTATACATGATCTTTGTTTTGTCCATGTTCATCTTAAGACCTATCCGTTGGGAGGCACTATTGAGGTCATTGAGCATAGTGCTTAAGTCCTCCAGCGATTCTGCCATAAGGACTATATCGTCGGCAAATCGAAGGTGAGTGATGTACTCGCCATTGATGTTAATACCGTATCCTTTCCAGTCCAGTAGCTTGAAAACGTCTTCCAAAGCAGCGGTGAAGAGTTTCGGGGATATAACGTCACCCTGTCTTACACCTCTCTGCAGTTGGATAGGTTTCGAGCTCTGGTACTGTACTCGGATAGCCATCGTAGCCCTACTGTACAAACACTTCGATATACCGACAGTCAACTTGGCACCGCTGAAGGGACTGCAGCACCGCCCAAATTTCGACGGAATCAAAGGCTTTCTCATAGTCCACATACGCCAGGCAAAGTGGCAAATTGTACTCTTCAGTCTTCTGTACAATCTGCCGCAGGGTATGTATGTGGTCTATGGTACTGAAGCCTTTTCGGAAACCGGCTTGTTCGGGAGGCTGGAAGTCGTCGAGTCTGCGTGCGAGACGATTCGTAATGACTCTCGAAAACAGCACGTAGACGCGGCTCAGAAGGGAAATCGGTCTGTAGTTCTTCAAGAGAGCGTTGTCGCCTTTCTTAAAGAACAAGACCACCGCACTTCTGCTCCACGCCTCTGGAGTAGTGCCACCATGGAGGACGGAATTGAAGAGCTTCTGAAGGACTTCCAGTACCGGTGTTCCACCCCCTTTCAGAAGCTCCGCTGTAATTCCATCCTCGCCTGGGGCCCTGCCGTTTTTAAGGTGCTGGAGAGCCATTCTATTCTCGCTTAGACTGACGTCCGGGATATCATCGGAATAGTGTCGGATAAGACTTTCTCTTGGATCGTTACTCACACTTGCGTGTGGCTCCAACGATGATGTGTACAGCTGCCCATAGAACCTCTCAATCTCACTCAACATCTCAGGTGTCCCGGAAACGATGCTGCCACATTCAGTCTTCAGCTTTGACAGTTGGCTCTTTCTGGCAGACAGATCTCTGGCAAAGACTTTGGAGCCCTGGTTCCGCTCGATCGCTTCTTTAATACGAGCAGTATTAAAGTTGCGTAAGTCTCGCCGCATGCATTTGGAGATCTGTCTGTTCAGTTGCCTGTATGCTGTCAAATATGTTGACTATTGCAGCCTCATCTCCCGTCTAACAGCCATGAGATTAAGAGTGTGATCGGAGAGTTTTTGTGTTCTTCTGCGGTGGGTCTTGCAGAACTTAGCTCCGACCGCATGGACAGTTTCCACGAGCTTGTCATTCATATCGTCCACTGCATTGCAATCTTGTAGGCACTGAAAGCGGTTGTGTAACTCGAGCTGAAAGTTTTCGGGATTCTGGATTAGAGCACGAGGGGGACGGAGCGTTGACTTCATTAGACGAAACCTCTCCAACTTAACGTTTAGGTTCAGTGTGCCTCTAACCATTCGGTGATCGCTGCCAGTTTTCACCCTTACGATCACTGAGACATCACTGAACAATTGGCGTCTGGTCGTCATAATGAAGTCAATCTCATTTTTTGTCGAACCAGGTCCACTTCCTGTGGGGCCGCTTCTGGAAGAAAGAGTTCATCATAAAGAGTCCCTCTTTCTCCATAAAGTCGGCCAGCTGCTGGCCCCTTCGGTTCCGTTGCCCTACTCCAAATTTCACTAACTTCAGCTCACCGCTTTCTCTTGTGCCTAGTTTTGCGTTGAAGTCTCCCATCAACACCGTGTAGTGGGTTTTAGAGGAATGCATGGCTTTGGAAATATCCTCATACATTTCCTCTACCTCCTCATCGGGATGTGCCGAGGTTGGTGCGTAAACCTGTATGACCTTCAGCGAATACCGTTTGGTGATTCTGAGTATCAGGTACGCGACCCTCGTCGACACACTCCCAATCTTTACAACGTTGTTGACGAGAGACTTGTGGACGATAAATTCGACACCTCCTTGGGACACCGTGGATCACCGTGTCCTCCCCCTCTCTTCGGACCTCGGATAATCCTATAATACTCCAGCGCAACTTGTCTATCTCTTCTTCCAGCTCCAGGATCTTCTCGTCAGTCCTCAGTGTGCGTGCGTTAAATGTTGCCAGGTCGAGTCGTCGTAGGTGGCAACCGAACTTCCACTGGAGATTCTTAGCACCCCCTGCCCCGCCGTTACCATGGTCGTGCCCCGCCGTTAACATGGTCGATATAATTTCTTAGTTTTCTTTTTTTCATTTTCCTAATTTCTCACCTTTAAAGTGTTAAAACCAGGATAAATGGTTTGCGCGGAAAAAATGGTTTTCAATTGCAATCATGCATTGCATGGTAGTTGGGAAATCCGTAAAACGAAATTATGAATAATACTTATTATAGAACTTTACAAAAATCTACCTCTATTGATCATTATATACAAAATATGAAAAATTGTCTATTAATCATTGTGTCCAAGTTAGTAATCCGACAAAAATATAGTGAGATCAGATACAGATAAAACGAAAAAGCTTTATGTGCTTTCTGAGGCATAGGTATGAAACACTGCTAAACTCTTGACTCCGGGCTGCTACCTGAAAATTTCTGGATAGAAAGCCCAACTGATTTTAAGCCCGATGACACCTATTACTTAAAGGTCAAAAAACTTTTCTAGGTTGAGTTTAGTTTTATTTTTTATTTGTTTGCAGGATGAGACAAAATATAAATGCTTACGCAATTTCATTATTTTGTTAGTGTATGTACTTAGTTTTAGGTAGGCATTGGATTGTAGTTTTCATTTCAAATTTTTTATTCGATATCAATAATTAGTGATGGTACTTGCTTATCTAGGGCAATATCTTATTTGTTGTATGGAAACCAAGTATTGGCAAAAAAAATTCGGGAGCAAATTAGGGATTATGTTATTGCGGTCATTTTGTTGTTTATTTACAAAATAAAACACAAGCATAAAGTTTGCCGTATTTGTTTCTTGGTTAGTTTGTGGAACCATTTATTTGTTTGACTAACTAATGAATGTTTTTATTCAGATTAGTGTCTTTCTAAGTCATTAAATATATAATAACTTAGAAAGACACTAATCTGAATTAAAAAAAATATTATAGATAATAAATCATTATCACATACGAGGGTGGATTGAAAAGTACTCGGCCTAACACAGATCCATTCAATTCTAAAAATCAAATCTACCCACATTATTTAGTTCAGTTCAGACTATATCATTGTGTGAAGTTCGAAACGTGTGCGATAATTAGTTGTGATTTTATAAATTTGTTAACAAAGTAATCGGACATAATTTCCGCGAATGGAGCAAATCGAGCAGCGTACCGTCATTAAGTACCTCCATAAGAAGGGGCTATCATCAAAAGCCATCCATGATGACATGGTCAGTACATTAGGCGATTGTGCTCTGTCATATTCATCCGTCAAAAAATGGATAGCAGAATTTAAGCGTGATAGAGAGAGTGTGAAAGATGAACCCCGCTCTGGAAGGCCTTCGACGTCAACTACTGACGAAAATATTAAAAAAGTACTTGATTTAATAATGGGAGACCGCAGATTAAAAATTAGAGAGATAGCCGAGATTATAGGCATCTCTTATGAACGAACTCAAAACATCATTGTCAACGAGTTGGGTTTCCACAAGGTGTCTGCGAGGTGGGTTCCGCGACTGCTTTCAGTTGAACAAAAAAAGGACGCGATTGACTATTTCACGCGACTGTTTGGAGTTATTTGAAGCCGATGCAGATGATTTTTTGAATCGTTTTGTTACTATGGACGAAACATGGGTTCATTACTGTACACCGGAAACAAAACAACAATCAAAACAGTGGAGAAGACCTGGTTCACCACCCCCTAAAAAGGCTAAGTCGATTTTGTCGGCAAATAAGGTGATGGCTTCAGTATTCTGGGACTCGAAAGGTGTGATTATGATTGATTATCTTGAAAGGGGTCAGACTATAAACTCTGATTACTACTGCACCTTACTACGTCGTTTACGAGAGGAAATAAAAGAAAAACGTCGAGGAATGCTCAGAAGAAAAGTCCTGTTTCATCAAGATAACGCCCGTGTTCACACGTCAGTACAGTCAATGGTTGAAATTCACAACTGCGGCTTTGAACTGTTACCGCGTCCGCCGTATTCACCTGATCTGGCACCATCAGACTTCTTTCTGTTCCCTAACCGAAAAAAGCACTTGGGAGGTCAAAGATTTTCGACAAACGACGAGGTCAAAGCAGCTGTAGACGCATATTTTGACTCTAAGGAAGAATCATTTTTTTTCAACGGTCTAAATGCTTAGAAGGGGAGGTGGCAAAAGTGTATTGAACTTGATGGTGATTATGTAGAAAAATAAAAATATAACTGATTTAATATGTGTTTATTTTCTTGGTTAGGCCGAGTACTTTTCAATCCACCCTCGTAGAATAGCAAAAGTACTGATTCCACGCGAACGAAGTCGCAGCCACATCTAGTTATATAATATAACTGAAATTAAAAAAATTTAAAACCTCCGAAACAAAAAGAGCTGTTGATCTTTCAACGACTAAACAGATTTTTTTGAATCATAGAGCTAAGAACACTCAAGTCACCTTGCAATTAAAGCAACTAAATCAAAATCGGTTTTGATAGAATCAGGCGTTACTATGCGGAAATCCATTATAATAAAAATTTACTTCGCAACCTTCCGCTAACTAAATACAATGATGTGTCTTACCTGGATTGAAGAGCACCTCCCGCCCTCCCTCAATTGCATGCACTAACTCCGTCACCACTAGTCCCAGCACCACTACTCCCAGCACCACTACTCCCGGCACCACTACTTCCAACACCACTATTCCAGGTAACACACACCATCGACGATAATACGACACGAGTATCGCCTCTACACGAGGCATCCTCAGGTGATATAGACTCTACGGCGGCTGACCGCTAAGTTGGTCCAAATCGGTTTGTTCATATGGGCACTGCAATTCCATAAACAAACATGCAGATACATATGTTAAACTTATAACACACCTCTGTTTTCATCATGGGTTAAAAATATAAAATTTGGTATAGGAGTGGAATTAGGAATAGTGTATGTATCCCTTATACACATAAGCAGTCAATGGGTGAAGGTGGCTCAATATTGTACTCATTATTGTTTTATGTGTGCTAGAGCCAGACTGCAGGATTATTATGGTTGTAGCGCACTAATTAATAGTCTAGAGCTAGACAATGCAATTACCACACTCCCATGGAATACCAGCATGAAAAAGCAGCTACTGCGTTTCACATGGTAAGTGTAGAGAACCAGAGGTCCTTTTTGTGAAATCAAGGCATTATATGATAGCTTCAGGGGTGATAACACATCTGCATTTTCATTCTTAGTTGAGATTAATGTAAATGTCTATGGGCCACAGCATCCTCTTATCAGGTGGAGTGTGTGCTCAATTGTCACTCTTTTTTTATTAATATTTTTTTTAAAAAAAAGCTCACGCTCAAGCTCACCTACTTTTGGTGTATTAAATACTAATGGAAAAGGTAAGTAAAGGCTGCATCAGTGTGAGGACAAAGCGTTATGCTTACTAATCTACCATAGTAACATGATGAAATCTGCTTTAAGAAATTATGTCAGCAGGCATATTCTTGTAGAACTTATGCTGGACATACAATGGGCTAGAAGGCTGAAAGTAAGAAGAAAGTTTTCTAATAGAAATATAACATTCAAGAGAGGATGATATTTTTTATACTTGGTATTTTACCAAGTATCAAAAATATCATTCTTTTTTATTTTAGATGAATATACATATTACCAAATTTATATTTTGTATTGGTTAAATATTTTAAACATTACTTACGTGGTAGAGCTATGCTGCAGCTGTATAGTTGTAGCACGAATAGATCGGCTCGACCGGGAAAGGACCACGCTCTCACAATATACTAGCGTCAAATAGCAGCTTAATGCTGCTGTGTTTTTTGTATGGTGAGTGTTCAGAACCGGAGAACCTTTTTACTGGAAAAGAGGCATTTCATCTTAGTCCTCAAGGCTGACAACGCGTCTTCATTTTGATTCGCAAACGAGGAAAGATGTAGATGTCAATGGGCCACAGCAACCACTTACCGACAGGTGGACTGTGTGCTCGTTTGTCACCCTTTTCCTATAAGAAAAAAAACATCTTCTAAGGAACCATGAGTATATAATATACTTTGATCTCATTCATAACAGAAATATTATAATAGTGAGATTCTTGAATTAAAATTATATATTTTATGTGGTTAATGATTTATTTTGCCAAATTAAGTTGATAAACTAACATACAATTTCCTTGATGGTATGTGAATATGTATCTGTGGCCCATAGACACCTACATCTATACTTGATTAAGAATCAAAATGCTACGGTCTTGACACCTGACGACTAAGATAGAATGTCTCATTACCTTATTATGATTATTGTGCCCGTTACACTGTCTCGCCAGTCGCGCCAAACCACTATAGCATCGCTCTACTGAGTATAATATATTAGTTGAACATTGAATTATTTTGTAGTTACAGCACCAGAAAAACCAGCATATGAACCACCTGGACCAGAATTTTATAAGAGTTTAAAAAGAGAAACAGATGAAATACTTAAAATAACAGAGGAAGCCAACTTAAAGTATAAAAAGAAGGAAATACAAAGTAATTGGGCCAAATATGAAATGCCAATTGAGAGCTATAATGAAATTGAAGAACAAGAGAATATGGGAGCTGATTTTGAGGTATTTATTTATTTTTATTACATACTGTCTAAACTTAGGGCACACATAATCATGGTTTAATCAATCAGTTAATTGGATGTTTAACTCATTGGTTCAAAACTGGCATCCTATAAAATCACTAACATTTTAATTAAATTGTCTTTATATAACTTTTAAACGGACAATTAGTACAGAATAAATATACTATGTACAGAAGTTGCACTCCTTTGATGTTAACTGCTTGCCGACGTTTTATAGCCCACAAAATTATTATTAATTAGATAAGTCGTGCACGCAAGCTAAATAAAACTGCATCGCAGCGCGCGTGTCCGTATCACTGCATCTTTTCCGCTTCCTACGTCATAGCGGACTTTATGTGGTTACTAAGGGCTGGGTAAGTAACTTACTTAGTTAAAGTACCTATTCTGACTAAGATCGACCGACCATATTTTCGCTACTATGTGAGTTCTGTGATGCCCAACGCATGCAATTTGCAGGGCTATTTGTCGCGAATCGCGATGCTTGCGTAGGTAGGTTAATATACACATACATTTTTTTAAATTACGTTTAAACCTTATCAACTATTTTATCCTACAATTAAGTATACTTAACACTAAACAAAAACTATTTCAACAAGTATTCACAAAAAAAATTTACGTAAACATCGTTAAAAACTTTAACATTCAATCGCCTCGTACGCGCTAGCACCGACTGCGTAACTCGGAGCGCCTCACGATCCTAGGTTATTATTTCACGCTACCTACGTGACAGAGGCCTGCCACAAGGCAGCATTCTGCTGTATCAAGAGCTGCCATCTCGGCGGAATGTGGCTTAATTTCTTTTTCAATGGAGTCTGTCTTTTCACAAGTATCATCGCCAAAACTTAAATTATTTAGTCACTTTAGTCATTGTGAGGTCTTGAAGTGATTTGGAGTCGAGTTCAGAATACATCCAGCTCCAAAAAGTCACATCTCAATTTCGAATTGTTCACTGGACTTGAACTGTGTTTCAAAATCAAATCTTTCATCGTCATCGTCAATTATCAAATTTTTGAGCTTAAATCTAAATTTTCAATAGGTGGAAAGGTAGCCTAATGTCAAAATTAGTAAATGAAATTAACCTTTGCCGTGTAGTAGCAGCATAAGACTTCCATCACTTCATTTATTCCTGATGGTGTGTGCTGTAGAAGGCGATTATGGGATATGCCGAAAATATCTTATGGCTGTCGATAGATGGCGGTATAACAAGTTCGCTTACGCCACACCCAAAATACCCAAACCGGTGATGGAAAGCATCGTCAAAGGTGCGAAACGTCTGGTGCTGCGAACATCAATCTATTTGCCAATCCATCACCATTCATCCGATTTAGGCAAATCCTCGCTTCATTGAGAAATTAATCTGATGTAATGGTTGGTTGTAATGATTTGATAGACCACAAATCCTCGCGAAAGAACACCGATTCCTACAAAGGATGATACGTGAGGCTATTGAAATTAAAAAACATCCTAATTTCAATAGAGAAGGAGGCTGGGTACTACCACCTGCTTGGGATCCTATAATCAATAAAATTAAAACTAAACCCAAGCATACCACTGCAAGACCTCAGGACATAGTCAGTTCATGTTGCATAGATCGGACCATAAACAATAATTAAAAAAGCTGAAGGTACTCCGGGTTTAACAATGACATCGGGACGTCAGTCATCTCAGTCCCCCGTGACCATGGGTGCTGGAAAGCGCCCGAAACGTCGGGAATTAAAAATAAAAGTAAATAAAAAGTAAAACTAAACGCGATAAAATCCGTAAAAGTAGTTTTAATCATGTATAGTGTTCGCGTAAATATAAGAAATCATTAAGTTCCATATGTCATAAAGAAATTACTGCGGCAGTACGTTGTTATATACAGAATTGTAGTGTGACCTTGTCAAGTCAACAGTAAAGGCCAACCTCTCGCTTCGTATTCGAGGTGTGCTTTTATATGTAGACAATGCATCTACATTCTTAATTCTTAATTGAGGATATCTGGTGTAGATGTGTATGGGATATAGCATCTTCTTAGGTACATTTAAGTGGATTTTGTGCTGGGTTGTCACCCTCATTTTATTAAAAGCAACCCGCGTAACCATGAATAATATAGTATGTACTGGGATACCATGTGACATCCTTAGTTCATATATTAGAAATAGGTAAATCATAGAAAGATGGCAGTGGTAGACAAAGACTGTATCGCAAAAAATATTTGCTCTGTTGTCAGTATCCAGGGAGAAAATAGGGGAATACCTTTGTGTGAACTAAATGCCGCCCAACCTTTTAACGTTTCGTTTCTGTAACGTTATCCCTATGCTAAGAATATCTTTAGTATCGTGAACGTATTTTATGCACGTGTACAAACATCGAGATCGATTTGATTAAGGTTTGACAATTTAATCCCAATCCGTTCAAGTATTACGTAACGCAATTTTTGAAGATTTTTGACCCTCCCGTCCCCCTATGTAACGCGTCATAACGTTTTTCTGTACCATCTCTCCCCCTACCTAAACGTTACGTAACACCCAAGTGACCATTTTTATCTAAAAGTCATAATTATGTTGCGCAAAAAAGTCGCTAAAGTACTTTTGTTCGTTATTGTTTTAATTGCGTTTCTTTTCGCGGTAATAATAAATAAGACAAGAGATTTCTAACTCGCAATATATGCGTATATTGTTCATTTTATTTATTCATATTGGTATTTCATAAAACAATTACACATAATGTAATAAACATTTGCTTAAATTTGAAATATGTTAAATGGTTTCAAATTTGTCCTTATAAACTTTTACTACTAATCTTGGCTCGCTGTTTCATACTCCTCTTTCACGACGGTCTTAGGCAGTCTTGCCATGTACTTAAGGACTGTGCATTCTTGTGGAATATGAAATAGATCCCACAGGTTGGACATATTCTGTTCTTAAGTGGGGCCAATGGGGAAAAGAAATCGTAAGTCATTGCCTAAAACCTAAGGAGGCTACAGATCAATGGACAACCTCACAAGAAGTGGTGAAGACTTGTATGATACTTTGTCTAGCTGACTAGGTACCACGAGCTTGCTTTGGGTATGAATATTTGGGTAAGGTAGCGGCAGGAAATTATCGGGAAAGAGATTTCAATGTACTCCTTCGAGCGGGAACAGGAGGATTGGTAATTCACGCATTCAATCACTTGCAAGAAATATTGTGATTCACAGACATGCGTGCTATACCACGCCAGATTAGGTTCTACTGTATCCTGCAAGCTGTTTTTGGGCTTTCTATATTCTGCCATGTTTTTTTATACGAGAGGGTGACAAACGAGCACACGGTCCACCTGGTGGTAAGTGGTTGCTGTGGCCCATAGACATCTACATCTATCCTCGATTACGAATCAAAATGCAGATACGTTGTCACCCGTGAGGACTTAGGTGGAATGCCTCGTTTCCAGTAAAAAGGGTCCCCGGTTTCCTACACTCACCATACGAAACACAGCAGCATTAAGCCACTATTTGACGCCGGTATTCTGTGAGAGCGTGGTCCCTCCCCGGTCGAGCCGACCCATTCGTGCTACAACCATACTACTAATATAACTGCAGCATGGCTCTACCACGTTTGAAATGTGCTTCTAAGTAAACACTAACGAATACTGACAACGAAAACAAAATAAAAATAACGTACAATACAGTCAAGGGATTCCCCGTAAAACATAAACGAAAACGGTTGCTAACATAGAACAAAATAAAAATGACGTACAATACAATCTAGGGATTTCTCATAAAACATAAACGAAAAGGGTTGCCAACTTGGAAGACTATTACATAACGCGTTGTTCGAAACCCCTCCCGCCCCAGTCACTTGCGAATTGCGTTACGTAATACATGAACGCCCCCTTTGCCATTTTTTATTATTCTGTTAATTTTAAAGTATTACTTAAACATAAATTTTAATGAGTTTTCATTTATTTTTATTTAGCAATGTATTATGATAATATGTTAAAGCATGACTATAGCTAACGTAAAAAAGCTTTTTTTTATTATTTCAGACTCTTATTCAAGCACCTTTATCAATTGGAGGACATTTTCAGTTCAAACACGAAAAATCCTGGGATATTAGTTCGGGGCCTTCTTTATATGACAAATATTTTGAAATTGACATGGACAAACTAGCTATAGCTCTTTCAACAATACCATTCTATGAAAGAAATAGTTTGGATAAATCTATTTTTAACGAAACAGATATATTAAATATGAACAATAGAGTTACTAAATTCAAACAAAAATACTATAACGACAAATCATATACGACACCAGAATTAGATGTTCAAGAAAAGATTTTGAATAGTTTAACAAAATCAGACGAAAATGACAAAAGCGACAAAAATATCACTTATGAAGACAAAGAAGATATTACTCAAATAAAAACTAATCTTTCAGATTTTACTAAAAGCCTAGATATTAGTAATGAACTTATGTCTGAAAATGTAATTAAAATATCAGAAAAGAGTCTGGCTACGAAAGATAAAGAAACACTAATGACTACAAATGAACCTAAATTAGATAAAATAGAAACTGAGGAAATTAAACCAAGTGAGCCTGACAACTTAGAAGAAAACAAAGAGGATATAAAGATACTTACTAATACTAAAACGATACAAGTAGACAAGAAATTTGTGGATGATATCGAAGACATAATAGACATTGTAAAAAATAATGCAGATGATATGAAGAAAGAAAATACTGAAAAGAGTGCTGATATAGAGCAGAAAACAGAAAAATTATATGAAGGTAATTTTTATCATTTTTTAACCGAATGCAAAAAGGAAGACTTCTCTATTTGTTTTTTTTTTTTAAATGTGAACCTGAGTATCCAGCGCGGGTTTGGCAATAAATATTTGTATCTTTACTCAGGATGAAGTGACCTGCTATACACAGTTTTAAAACACAATCTTTTCAAATAAAATGGTAGGTAGAGACTACAGATTTCCATTTAGCACGATCCTTACACACCTCTCTCTTGGTTTTTCCACATTCATATCTACGCATACCTTTTGGTCGTTAAACGGCTAATCGGTACTTCTGTTGGCCACATTAATAAACTACTTATTGGTCTCATACCAATGACAAAAAATGAGATTGATTTCATTATGACGACCAGACGCCAACTGTTCAGTGATGTCTCTGTGATCGCGAGGGTGAAAACTGGCAGTGATCACCATATAGTTAGAGGCACACTCAACTCAACCGGTAAGCTGGATAGGTCCCGTCTAATGAAGTCAACGCTACCGAAAACTTTCAAAAATTTCAAAACCGTTTCCAGTGCCTAGTAGACTTCAATACAGTGGATGTTATGAATGACAAGTTCGTGGAAACTGTTTATGCGGTCGGAGCTAAGTTCAGCATAACCCGCCGCAGAAGAACACAAAAACTCCGATCACACTCTTATTCTCATGGCTGTTAGACGGGAAATGAAGTGCGGTGGTCTTGTTCTTCAAGAAAGGTAACAACGCTGTCTTGAAGAACTACAGACCGATTTCTCTTCTGAGCCGCGTCTTCGTGCTGTTTTCGAGAGTCATTACGAATCGTCTCGCACGCAGACTCGACGACTTCCAGCCTCCGGAACAAGCTGGTTTCCGAAAAGGCTTTAGTACCATAGACCACATACATACCCTGCGGCAGATTGTACTGGAGACAGAAAAGTACAATATGCCACTTTGCCTGACTTAATGTGGACTATGACGTAATGTGACCAAATTTCGAGGGAAGAAAGCCTTTGATTCCCTCGAAATTTGGGCAGTGCTACAGTCTCTTCATCGTTGCCGAGTTGACTGTCGGTATATCGAAGTGCTGAAGTGTTTTTACAGTAGGGCTACGAAAACAAAGATCATGAGTAACGTCCATATCACTCCTATGCCGGTAGTTGTTGGGAGCACTAAGCTCGAAGTTGTTGACGAGTATGTTTACCTTGGACAAATAGTCCGACTAGGTAAGTCCAACTTCGGCCGAAAGGTCAATCGACAGATTCAACCCGGCTGGGCAGTGTTCGGGAAACAAAACCTGAAAACGTGACTACAACCAGTGCGTGTTGCCAGTGATGACTTATGGATCTGAGACGTGGTCCTTTTCTGCTGGCTGTATTAGGACGCTCAACGTCGCTCAGCGAGCTATGGGAAAGGCTATGCTCGGGGTTTCTCTGCGTGATAAACTTAGAAATAAGGATATCCGCAGTAGAACCAGAGTGACCGACTTAACGCATTAGTAAGCTGAAGTGGCAATGGGCCGGCCATATAGCTCGCAGAACCGACAACCGATGGGGAAAAGTTTCCCGAGTGGCAGCCTCGTTACCGGTAGACAAAGTGTAGGATGACCCCCCATTAGATGGAGTAACGACCTGGTAAGACATGCGGGAAGTCGATGGATGCAGGTGGCTCAAGACCGTGCTTTGTGGCATTCCTTGGGGAGGTCTATGTTCAGCAGTGGACTTGTGAAGGGCTGTAATGATGATGATGAGGTAAAAACGAGCATTTGGAAGGGACTTAATATTGCCTATTTTCCGACATAAATATGCTTTTTTGACTGAGTCATCTGGTGACGAAGATTAACATAATGAAATTCATCATACAACCATCCAAAGGAGACAATCAATTTTTGTATGGAGAATGGGCCCACTACACATTTTAAAGATTCTCAATGAAATGCATGTCGATTTATTCCTTATAATCCATAGATTACAATTATATTGTTAGTTTTACTATATCAAAACGGAGTCCTGAGAAATTAACAAATAAAATGTGAATCTAACAATGACCTAAAAACAAACTGAAAGCCATTTTCTAGTAGTATTCATCGGTGTTATAAGTTAAAATAGTGCACAGTTGAATTATAACCACAACATTAATACATATAAAATAAAGCTGTGAGTATATTCAGCATTTATAGATACTTTAAAATCGATGTAAAACCTTTCCCTAGTTCCGGCAAAACATAGTGCCCATCTGTGCACAAATGTCGTATGGATTCTATTTTTGACATGTATTGATTGTGAGTGTAAATTGCAAATACTAAGATTGCTAAGGGATAATATGTCTATTTATATTTATGATAATACCAACACACTAGGTACAGAAACAGAAACCTTTTATTCAATTTAGATTATAAATAATATTTATTGAAAGTCACTTTTTTTAATTTAATACTGGTTCGGAAAAAAACTCTTTCCTGAAGAGAACCAGCAAAATACCCAGTGGGACTTTTTTTTAAATAACAGCTTCAATCATGTACGTTATAATTAACAATACAGAACAAATTAGAAATAGCTTGGTAGCGATCACCTTACCCTCATTATTTATTATCATCCATAAATTCCTTTATATTATAGTAACCCTTTTTATACAAACTTAGTTTAATAAAGTTTTTGAACTTTGATGATTGACTGAGATAGACAGGCAGGAGCGGTGTCAAAACTTTGTTTTAATATGTTTTGGTTAATTAGTAAGTACTTATACATCATAATAAAATTAACATGCTTATCCATGTTGTTACATATGATAAATAGTGAGGAAATAAGATGTTTTAAACTGTTTAAGGATTACAAAACACGGGCATAATTTAAATGTATTTATTACTAGCGATGTGCCTCAGCTTTGCACTGGTGATTTATGGATCTCGACAACAGTGCCATCTACCGGGTTCAAATGTAAATATAAACCACCTAGAGATCCATTCAAACACACAAACAGTTTCATTAAAATTGGTTAGATGGTTTCTTATGTTTTGTCTATAATGGACATAGGTAGAAACAGACAGACAATAGCAGTGTCAAAACTTTGTTTTAATGTTTTGGTTGATTAGTAAGTACTTATACATCATAATAAAATTAACATGCTTATCCATGTTATTACATAATGATAAATAGTGAGGAAGTAAGATGTTTTAAACTGTTTGTGTAAAGATTACAAAAACACAGACATAATTTAAATGTATTTATTACTAGCGATGCGCTTCAGCTGCAGCACTGGTGATTTATGGATCTCGACAATAGTGCCATCTAGCGGGTCCAAATGTAAAATATAAACCACCTAGAGGTCCATTCAAACACACAAACATTTTCATTACAATTAGTTGGGTGGTTTCTTAGGTTTTGTCTATAATGGACATGGTAGAAACATTTTTGTGTTAGATATATTCCTGAAGGTTTTTTGAAAATAACTTGATGGTAACATGCCCATTTATGATTTTGTAAGCAATCAAAAGTGCATTTTCAATGATAAGAGATATGATAACATCCATACACTTTTTGTCTCTGCAAGCTTTCAGCCTGCAAGGCATACAGATTTGTTTTAAGCGATTCACCTGAAAAGAAGTTAATGAATATTGTAAAGGTGTCTTAACTTAATAATAATTCTTATCAATATATTATTTTTTCTATATTATATAGGAATTGAAACGACATTTTTAATAATAAAATTTGTTTTATTCTTTTTTTTTATTTAGGGACTTACGTTATTTTTAACATGTCAGTCCCATTGTACCTTATAACTAAATAACACTACAATATTTTAAATTATTTACACAAAATATTAACTAAATTATATACCATTTGAGCAGCATTAGACAATGGTTCAGACAGAATGCTTTGATATTCCCCTAGGTTACATATTTTAATGTCAGTTTTGGCAACTAATAATTTTCTTTTCATGATGATTTTTTGATTCCGCGAGCAAGTGTTGTACATCTTCTATTGTCTTGCATGTATCGCAATTTGGAGATTGTTTCTTTTTCATCATGAAAGCAAACTTGTTACACGGAATGTGTCCGGAACGAAGTCGCATTGCTAATACAACATATTTTCTATTCAACAGACATTAATTAAACCAAAGCACTTTCGGAGGCTGACTCTGGATGGTTTTGTACCAAATCCCTTTTTCTTGCGATCGTTTATCAAAATATTCTGTCGGCATTTTCTCATCTTATCTGCCTGTTCATGTTAAATAAAAAAGAAATAATAAAGTAGCATTAATCAGCTCCAGCTGATCAAATACAGAGCAGTAATTATCGATTAACATCAACGATATTCGACTGCGTAAAAGTTGTCTCACATTTTGCTTTCACTTGTATCATGTACATATGAGAAAAAGATATTATTGTTATATTAAGTATATCTGATTCTAGTTGACAAAATTATATTCCTTTTTGCAGAGTGAACAACACAACTGTCTAAGCATAACATATAGAAACATTACACTTTTTATGCAAACTATTATCATTCAAACTTTATATTTGCTTCTAGTACAAATAATTACTACTTTTTTACACATAAATATATGTATGTACCATTTATATTGCCTATCTATGGCTGGTATAAATCTTGGATCCGTGTCTGGCTTAACAAATAAGTTATTTAGTATTAACCAACTTGCTGAATACATAGGGTACCTATTTGTACACAAATGCAGTTAAATGAATTGCTCTTCAAAACCGATGAAGTTGTATCAAATAGAGAAGCTTCCTTAGCCCTCAATCCAAACATTCTAATTTTCTTTTAACATTATAATACCTTCTTTTATGTATTTATTCTATTTATTATTTAATTTAGATTTTACTAATAACATAAACTAAATACTTTGTCACTTTTAACAAACAATCTAAGACCTGTTTGTTATTTGTATTTGTTTGAGGTAATTCAACAAACTTAATAATAGATTTTCATAAATTCTAGGTTAATAAACTCTTATAGTAATTAACTTAAAATCATCAGTTGTATTTGCGAATTTCAACACAAAAAATAAAAAGAGAAATACATACGTAATGTATAAATTAATATTTGTTTAACCTTCATTATAATTGATAATATCCATATTCTCTTAAACAATGGTCTTGTAATGCTTGTAAATAAAAATCAAACATGTATTAGTTATGCAACCATCAAAATCATCGCATAGATTCGGTGGGAGCTAGATAGATATTACTTCACTAATTTACTTGTAGTATGAGTGGCCGCGGGTGTCATCACAGGTTGCATTCAAATTCAAACTTGCATCTGGCATGTTGTAAACAAATGTGAACTTAGTTTGATTTATAATATCGTGGTTGTACTATCATTGCTGACCATTTATTTGTTACTTCGTGTAAGTAGTGCATAACATGAAACTTGATTGACATATACTTGTTTGTTTAAAGTATGTATATTAACAACAAAACAACGAAACAAAAACCGTCAGTGGGCTTTATTCTGAAAAAAAAAAGAGTATCGTGAAGAAAATGGTAGGGGAGATATGTAAAAAGCAGTTTATAGATTTCAAAATTCTACAAACATGAAAAAGAACATGTAAATACTACAAATAAATAAATATTTAATATTTTAATTTCTCATATTGCCATATATTACTTATTACATTAGTACATATTTCAAAATGGTTTAACTAAAGTAATCGCTACTCTCAACTCTAGTAATAAACTTTTACTGGATGTAAGGTCTGTAAATAGTCGATTTACTCGAAAACTCGTGTACAACTAGAATGACATACCTACTTAAATTAACACGAGTGGCTCGAGTCACAATATTCTACTCTAGTCGCATCTTACGGCCAGACTGCATTGGCCGTCTACAATTTAGTGATCAAATCGACTAATTCAAGCAATTTATTGATATATTATGTAATATGATAAATTGATATTACGTTATATGTTTATTATGTAATATCAATTTACAATAAGTATACTTTCTGATAGTCAAATTATTAATAACAATAAGACTTACGTCATAACGTTAGTGATATTATTTTATTAAGTTTGTCGATACGCAAATCAAAATATATTAAGTAATGATAATTGTGTTGGATGGAAGAACAAATAGAAAAATAATATGTGATAAATTGACACAGCTTCGTTCAGCTAATTTGAATTGCGTAACTCGAGTTCAAAATCGAGTTATCTGAATTTAAACTCGAGTTAATTCGAATCGAATTTTCCGACTGGCACATCTTTTAAGACAATTATTTTTTTGAATATTACATTACCAGAACCAATGATATGAACACGAATATCAAAAAAAAAAATATTTTTTTCACATTTCTTGATTCCGTTTAGGATTTCAAACAATCTTTAGGCTATATATAATAAATTGGTATCTTTTTTTATGTGTGATACTATTGTGAAACTCTAAAATTTCTAGTGAGCCCAAAAATTATTTGTCTCCTTTTGTCCAATATTTTTCTGCATCGCAATCCTTTGTCATATGGACCTTTCTTGTTTCAGGTGCTGATGATTCAGTAAAAGAAACTAAATTATCGAAAAATCCTATCATTGAATCTCCAGAAGACCTCGAGAAGTGGCTTGACGATTTCTTGGATGGCTAAACCTCGCTAATATTACAATTAATTCTAAGTACTAGTTAATTTTATACCTGTTTATAACGTCGTTAATGAATAAAATAGTTATTACCATTACATTAAATTAGAATGTTTTTCTTATAATGAAGATGTTTGAAAATTATTTTGATCGAGTAATCTCACAATACATAAATAAAAAATAATAAAATAACTGTTACTGGACACTTTTAGCAATTAAATGAAAAAAAAAGTTTTTTGCAGACTGTCTAAAACAAGTTTAGCTTAATATGCTCTAATTGGTTAAAGGTTTCCCCTTCAGGCTTTGCACCCATCTTCCACATCCTGTATATTAATATTTAATGATGCTTATTATTTTGCTATGTTTTAATTTGACTAATAAATAATAATAAAACAGATAATAATGAGAATAGTAAATAGGCCAATAAAAAAAATTATATATTTATTTTTCGTTTTGGCGTGAAATGATTTAGTGGATAAATTGTGGATTAAAAAAAAAGAGCATTAAAGATAATAATATGAAGTAGGTACATACAAACATCATAGCAGAACGCATATTAAAATTACAAAACCGTCGTGTGGCAGCGCTGTTGCCGCCCCATTAGCGTAAATAAATCGAACAACCATGGAAGCCTAGATCACGCTAATGAAGTTCCCGGACTACTTGGGTATATAAAAATATACCACGTAGGTAGCATTGTAAGCAATTTTATTTTCTTACGTCGATGACATGAATATGTTTCATTACGTAGAGCGTTGGCTGCTCCACAAGCTGTACACCTTTCCCAGCGGGAGATTCTCCGTTTTCCTTCCACGGCCTTCCACCTTTGGAATCTTCAAGCTTTTGTCATCGTCCTCAAGAACACCTTTCATTTGCTCCCAGGCAAACATAATTTGTCTTCACTTCCTACAACCAGTCTAGCTTATTACAAGGTTCGTAATATTGAAATTACACTGTTCCTCTTCCTAAAAATACTCTCTGCGATAGTGTTCGGCTCGGTCGAGAGCCCGTACTACTCGTATATGTTTCACGGCATTCGCAGGTTACTTGTCTTCCTCTAGAAATACCGCAGATTACAAGACGACTCCTGGCATTTACACCTTCGTCGATAACTTGACTGCTCCATTGATCGACCTCTGATCTGAACCTGAGGGGGTGAAGTGATGGTGCTGTCCTCGCGCCTCAATATCATTAACACATCAAAAACAACAGTGGAATTCTGAAAATAACGCTATTGAAGTTTATTAACTATTACTATACATAAAACGATCAATATTACCATGTGGAGCGTTGGCTGCTCACAAGGGCAAAACACCTTACTCGTACATGGATCCCCCAAAACTTTGTCCCAACTTTTTCAAGCGACATGACTGAAAAGGATACTGTACATAAATAGCGAATATATCACTCACCTTGATTTTCCACTTTGGTAGAATTGCTAAAAGAAGCTATCACCAATGTCTCTCTGGAGGTCTATTGGTGAACAGGGGCAAAATTAAAATTACTTAAAACTATAAGTCTTCGTCTGATATGTGTGGAATGCGTTCAAATATCACGCAAAAACGCATCCATATTTAGGCGTATTTGTGTGATACTTAAGGATTTTTTTTTCCTATTTTACTAGTGACGATAACGAAGAGATATTATCAATTTATATGTTATAGAGTGGTTTCATATATAAAAAATAATAAAAATCCCTGAAAGGTTTCACTAAACGGTCCAAAACGGTTTCTTGATAAACTTTGGTCGCAGTGTACTTCTATTTCACAAAAGTGAAGCTTCGTGACTTTTTAGTAAGACACTTCCAACAAACGATAATTGATGCAGCATGATGACCATTTTTAACTTGCTATCCTAGAAGGGTGCCAATCTCGTTGTATCCGTAATTACTTAACAAAAATTGAACTATAGATTAAAAGAGTCATTGATAATTAAGTTAACAAAATACAAAAAAAAATCATGTCATATTCACATATGTAGCATTAATGACTCCCTCTTTCTCTAATTTTTAACATAAGTGTTATTAAACATCGTAAAACTTACCTCACATGTGTCAGTTCGGTGATTGAGTTTTCTTCAGTATATCTCCATTTTTTTAGATGGGAAGTGTCCACCCGGAACGTAATTCTATGGGCCCTAATAATATCTGATCTACTTATTTCCACCTCAACATACCCACATATACGACGAGATTAACATTGTATTGTTTTGTACCAAATACCATCCTTTACTTGGCTGTATAAAATATTCTTTTAACTTTTTATAACAATTAATTTTATATTCTATAAATAATTCAATAACACTATGGATTAAAAAAAATGTCTGTACTTTCAATCATAGCTAATTTGTTAACTTCCTCGTTAAATTTTAAGCCTATATGAAATGAAACCCATGGCAATCTTAAATCTATGCCTGCGATACATTTTCAATATTTTTGTAAGAATTTTATACGAAATTGGTACATTAAGATGCCAGAAGCACACTTATTTAAATGTAACGTTCTTCTGTACGTAAAAATTACACACCTTTGCCTGCACAAAGTATGTATTAATGTTGATTAGAGCTTCTAGGTTTGTAATTAGTTCTATCGTCTGATTCGTCATATAACAACTCGTTTTAAAGACTGCAAGGCTTCTTAAGAAGTAAGAACGTACACCATTTTGATTTTTGTAATACTCTTTAATCGTAAAATATTTTGTTCGTATGTAAAGAGCACATTTATGAGTTTTCTACCAGCGCATCAGATCTACAGGAGTTTTTATCGATTTATTCTCTTATTCTGCAGGGACTAATTTTGGGCATGTCCTGTGTATCGAGTAAAGAAATCATTTAGATATGAATTTAAATTGTTTTATATTGTTACGAGCTTGAGGTTCGTGACAATAAAAACTGCCGATTGAATTACCAAAATTTACACTTCTATTACCGAACACCAAATAAAACTTAAAAGACACTAATAATTAATCACACTGATTCACTTTATTTCGCTCCGAAGCTTCGCTTGTCTCGCCAAATTCAATACTGACTCGATCGCGTCTTGCCGCACCTTTTTATACACCTTTTTCACCTAAACATCCAGAATATTCAGGTAGATACGGGCGCCGACCGACCAGACGCAGAAAGTTCGAGTGTAGGGCTTCCAGAAAGCTTAGTTCTTCAATTCGATACTAGATGGCGCCGTTGGTTGAAAGTCAAGATTGACATTTTCTAGGAAACCCTTCTCTCTCTCGTCCCCGACACTAGATGGCGCTAGTGCCGGGTACATGACGTCAACTTAGGCGCGCAACAATATGTATATAATAAAACGGTCCCTATATGTTTAAAAACCCAGAATATGGACAGATTGATTTTTAAAACAAAACTTAACCTTTGATCTTGATCGTGATCGTGACCGTCTGATTTGTTGGTTCGCCACGTTACAGTAACTTGCTTTTTTCACCATTCCGGTGCAGCAATTTTTTCTTTAAAGCAGATGAAACGGGACTTCAATTTTCTTAGTTATCCGTCTACAGAAATGGCCAAGCCTCGGCTTCTAACTTCACAATATCAATTTTCTCAATGCGACGTTCGATGCTGAATTGAAGAAACCATTCTCTCTGCTCATCCGTCTGTCTGGTCACATGCTATTTTTAGAGCAACCATGACGTTGTTTCATTAGAACATCAATATAAACTTATCTAAAATATTTAGATAAAATTTTTACATGAGTAAATGAAGAATGCGAAAAAAACATATATTATTCAATACCAAAATGTTATGAATAAAAAAAAATGAGTTATTCAGTCACACAGTTGGACTTTAAAATATGTCCAAATAGGCAAACTCCAAGCAATGGAACACTACGACCACCATCTGCTGAAAAATATATTTTTTATCAGATATATTTTAATATGTAAATACAGGGCGTCTCGTCGCGTCAACTTGCAAAAAAACGTCGTGAAGAATAACTTTCGAAAAACGAGCAAGTTACGATACTGCTCTAGCTATATAATAGGTCTTTACATATGAAATTGGCGTTTTGTACGGGAGGAATATAGTAATTTTTTGTAAAATATATTTAATTAAAGTATGCCGTTGTTACCTATGCACTTTTGCCATCATATAGGTAGATCATTGATCCCTTTACAAAAAAAAAACTTGGGGGCGAGAATCAATAAACTCTGAAGGTAGTTTGGACTGCCGCATCGGAGTTGAATTTTTTTCCTAAGAAGTTGTCCAAATTCCGGAAAAAATGGTAATCTGTTGGAGCACGGTCCGGGGAGTACGGTGGATGATCGCAGACATTCCAATTGTAGCTCATTTAACTTAGTGGTTATTTGTTGTGCAGTGTGGTCTTGCGTTGTCGTGAAGCAGCAGTGGCCTAGAGCGATTGGCCAATCTCGGTTGTTTAGCAGCTATTTCTTCCTTCATGGTTTGTACTTGCTGACAATAGATATCTGCCGTAATCGTTTGGCCAGATTTTAGAAAGCTGTAGTGAACGACACCGGCGCTAGTCTACCAAACACTCACAAGTAACTTTTTCTGAGTCAATTTTCGTTTAGGGCAGGATTTGACTGCGTCTTCAGGGTTCATCAGCCATTGCGACGAGCGCTTCCGATTATCGCACAGTAACCACTTTTCATCACAAGTAATGATTCGATTTGAAATACCTACATTTTTGTGTCGGTTGAGTAAAATAACACAGCAGTCGACGCGTGTTTGCAAGTTCGATTCACTCAATTCGTGAGGTACCCATCGTTCAAGTTTTTTTACTCTCCCGATTTGCTTCAAGTAGATTAATACAGTTTTATCACTTACCCCGAAGCCTGCAGCTATCTCTAAAGTGCTTTGTGATGGATCCGCTTCTACAATAGCCTTTAATTCTTCATTTTCCACTTTGGTCTCCGGCCGTCTACGGGGTTGGTTCTGAAGGTCGAAATTTCCATAACGAAAACGTTGAAACTAAAAACGTACCGTGCTTTCTTTTGCGACACCAGCACCGTACACATCATTAATCCTTCGAGCTGTATCTGCAGCACTGGTGCCACGGTAGAATTCGTACTCGTAAATATACCGATATTTCATGTTTTCCATTGTGTGGTAATAAGCGACGCCAAAGAAAAAAATAATGAAAAAACAAATGAATGACTGTTTTTAAAACTCAAATGTACCAGCTAAATGAATTTATAAATTTGAATTTGGAATTGTTGGAGATATTTCAGATCAAAGTGGTCAGTACGACAAAAAGCTAAAATCATATGTAAAGACCCAATATTTACTGTGGCTGGGTAGACAATACTGACACCACAGCACTAGAATATTTTCCAGGCTTGGCTTCCAAAGGATAATTTCTCCGCCGTCAGTATATCATCAGCGGCCGTTACAAGAGGACGTTGGATTTAGAAGAGGACTTAGCAGTGTAAATAATTGTATTTTATGTTACGTTACTTCTGAATCCGCGAAGGTAACAACTTCTAATAGCACTATGTGTAAATATACAGTCTCGATTAATACTAGCATAGTATAAAAAAGAAGACTGATATTATACATATGGTGATTGTTACCAACACAGATAAACTGAAGACATTTGCGCGACAGTGTTTAATTCTCCTCCAAATCCAACCGCACTTGCCCAGTTTAACGGCCCCTTTGTAAACAATTATATCTGTTGTCTCGTTCTCGATGATGAAAGAACCACAAAAGTGGTTGTGATTCTCTCATCATCCTCGGACGAAACTACAACAGGGATAATCTCAATCGAACGGCGCTTACAGGTAAGCTTGTTTGATTGTTCAGTTGTTACGATTACCCGAAAAAGAAAACTGCAATTTCGCGTTAAAGTTTATTTTCCCTCATCTCAAAATACCTTTCTACAAGATAAAATACATTTTCAACATGTATTCAAAATGCTATGCCTCTTATAAAATTTAAACAACAATGCATTCCAAAACACGTTTGACCATTTATTTAGCTAAATTACAATTACTATTAGACTTCGGTATTTAAGCATAATTCAAGAATCATCTGGCAAAATTAAGAACTAGCAAGTACACAACAGTTAGTCACTTACGCCACTATTATACTTATTTTATACCGGTTTATATAATCTTTTAAGGGAAACGAAAACAAGATTATAAAATAAAGGATTTCAACAAAATATTGATGAACAAATAGTGATGAACTTCAATTATTTGATATGTAAAAAAAACTAAGATTGGACAACTAAAGATATAACTCTGTCTCTAAGACAGGTTATGCGTAAAAACGCGATAATACAAAATTCGCTGCCAAATCATCATAGTCCTATGTCGTTCGATAATTTATAACGATCTATGCAATTTCGATCGATCATCGTTACATAAGCTGATTTCTTTTTTTTGTTACTAAATAATACTACGAGCTTAAATTTAAATCTCTCTTTAAATTAATTAATAAAATCCTAATAAACTAAAAAAAATTTTCAATAATCGATCTACAAGTATAGGCGTAATTTGCAGGTCGTGGGTTAAATTATCTCATTATTCAGCTCGTGATACAATCATCATCGCTGTCATGTAGCTTGTCGTATTGAATCAAAAGAAATCGCCACATGACGAAATCGAATGCTACTTCCACGAAACCACATAAAAAAATTTGATTTGCCACTATAGATATGACAGCTTTAATTGTGCCATAATTTAATTATATCCATTGTCCACTTAGACCCGCCACATACTACATACGGAATCCCGAAACGAAACAAACGGGTCGGCCACACACATACGGAATCCCGCAAAATTCCGTGCGGAAAACTACCGTAGGTGTGACGGATAATTAATTTTATATGGACTTGCTGCGTTCAGAATCCCGGGTCGGAATTCCGAAACCGGATTTCGTATGTATGTGCCGAGCTTTGGTCATAGTAGAAAAAAGCATTTTACCTCATATGCTATCTAATTTGTGAAGAGGTAAATGCTTTCTAATTTATAATTTGTATGTACACAAAATATAATTGGAATTTAAAAAAACAATATTAAATCAAGGACTTGTCTCAGCTTTATTTTTATTGGCCTAATGCAGCTAAGTAATGAAACTTTTGAAAACAATAAGTCAGTTCATTAATATGCAGTGAAAAACACAAAAAAAATAATTACAATGTTTTTTTACAGAAGGTTGACAAACAACCACAGTCCACCTAATATGATACTTTTCGTATGTTCTGGAAACATCCACGGTACTACAGCGCGTCCGCAATGTTCGCGGAGGCTGCTGTCCCAGACTTTTACGCAGTGTTACGTTGTAGCCAGTAACTGTACGTAACTCAACAAACGAATTAATCAAGGTCGTTACTCAGGTGTCTCCTGACAATATATTTTATAAAAACTGGCAGAGGATGCATCGGACGCCCATAATAGAGTTTAATTTGTATGTGTGTTTACTTCTATGATTCTTTGTCTTAGATGCTAAATGTATTTAACATCTTAAGAAAGAAAAACAGTAAGTAGATAAAACACAATTGAAACGCAAGAGTTCAAACATTTGGTAAAATATTCCAAACCAAATTCGACCACGGCGAGAGCTTCGCAATATTATGTCAATTGCGCAGGTGGCATTATAGTTTTACAAGTGTACATTAATGAACTGACTTTTATTTTAAGAGTTCGTTTCACGAAAGAAATCCCGCGGCAAATGTACGCACTAAAATTTAATGTATGGAATTTGACACCAGATGCCAAATTTTGCAGACTGTGGTGCTGCGGCTAAGGGACTTCTTTTTTGAAACGGACTCTATATAGATTAGCTACTCCATTATTTTGATTTTAAGTGTAGGTAGGTATTGTAGTGGCCTAAGTTAAAAAGAGTAAATTGCCATAGTATATTTGAGATTTCAATAATCTGGAAGTAGATACAATGCAATTGTTTTAACATCTGGGCAACCGGTATTGTTAAATTTGGGACTAATAGATTGATAGATTCAGATAAATATAAACAAATGAAAAAGTTTGGTTTGGAATCGAAATAATTGTACGGAGTCTGGTCTCGAATGGAATAACAGACAGTTTTCGTAATTTACACAAATAACATAATATTTTTAAGGGATAAAAACAAACTATTGCGTAAATACAAAAGCTGTATTAGTAAATTAAACGTTTTGCGTGTTTTAATCAAAAATAAAAGCAATACGTACGCATATTTCCTATTTAATAACGATAGCTATAATTATATTGGTTCCCGTTTCCACGTCCATCGTAGTCATAGCTGTTTCCAGGATTCCTATAAAATTGCGAATGGTGTGTAACTTCAGATTGTTTCAGGGTCTTCGCACGCGCCGCTAGTTGCGAAACCAGTTGTGCAGGAGTGAGGTGCGCAATTGAAATTGGGGCACTGTCCGAAACGCTTCCACTCGGGTTGAAAATCGCCTTAGAACTAATCAAATCTTGTTCCAAAACTTGAGTGTGAACTGTGGTGGTGAAATCCTGGCGGTCGATACACGTCCCTATCTCATAAGATTGAGTAGATTCGCGAATCTGGCAAACTTCACAAAATGGTTTCATTGTTTGTACTGCTGCATCCTTCATACCCTTTCGATTTTTCTTTGATGACCGTGAGACTATATCGTTAAGTCCTAACGTTGAAATTATGCTGTCGATTAGTTGTTGATTTTGGTGCACAGTTTCCACTTTACCACTTGCTTTTGTGAAGTAAAAATCTACTGCAGCTTGCCTCTTTAACGGAGAACAATATTTGGGCGCAATACTCTTGGTTTCGGGGCCGATGAGTGCATTGTTTATTAACAAACGATTGGGCAACTCTAATTTACTAAGTTTATTCAATGCTTCATGGCAGCGATTTAACACTGTGAATATAAAATATTTATATAAGTAAGTATAATTCATTTGATCAATTCAGTCAATCACTAAACAATGTTTTCCGAGAAATAGGAAGTGGGAATAAAATTCAGGAATGTAGAGCAACTGCAGTATCAATGATACTGTGCTCCTCAAAAAATCTTGATGAGTAAATAAAAAACAAAGTAACTAGCACACTACTAATTAAAATCACTTCTCACCAAAATGCTACCTTCGATGTGGTTTGACAATGGCTGGGTACCTGTTTCAGTCTAAACTCTAAAGGGACCTTGTAAACCATATTACTTATAAAAATTATATATTATTTTTATATAAAATAGGAATTACAGGACCGTTGACGGGATTATAAAAATATAGGTTCTTTTCTATAGTCACCTAAACTAATTATTGGGCAGGCTACAGTTCATTTGGTAATAATAAAATATTTAACAATAACTTTTCCGGAGATATTGTTCACGTGGATAGTATGTGAATTTATTATCATTCATATACCTAGTTAATCAACATACACAACTAAGTTTTTTCTTATCACAATTTTGTTGACACAGTAGCTTACGTTGTCACTGATATCATATTGCAAAATTTTTCTTTTATTCTATATTTGTATACAGGGTGGTCCAAACAGTGAGGTTATAAATTTTTTTTTGATTCCTCACACCTAGGGGTATCCGAAAATACCCTATGTATGTTACGCGATTTTTTGTAGTTTTCGAGTTATGATTTTTTTACCCTTTTTTTTGAAAATATTCACCCTAAACAGCTTAACATTAAAAAAATTTAATTGTGAAATTTTTTCCAAGTTTTTTTTGTTTGCAGCATGATCCTTATGATTTGCCCTATTATGCATAAAATAATTAGCTTCCTAACATTCACCGAAAATACAATAATTTTAATCGAACCTTAAAAATTTTCTGTCAGGAGAGTGGGGCTTGAATTTTCAACATTAAATGAAAAATAGTAATAAATGATTTCATACTTTATAATTAATTTTAAAAACTTGGCAGTACCTTAATCTTTCATAATAACATTAAAAAAAATGACACTTAATAGGCCAGTTTTTCTGTTACAGACTTCTGAAGTCACTCAGGCAGGAAACTACCTGAATAGTTAATTTGATTTAAAAAATCTTTTTATCATTTCTAGGGCTAAACTAAGATAGTAAATGCTTCAGGTTAGCAAAAATAATCATCAAGTGTCTTTACTTATTGTTTAAAATTTATAGACAACAAGGTATCATTTTACTACGTTCTGGACAAATGATTTCAAGATTCATAATAAAAGTAGTAAATAATTTAAGAAAAATTTATTTAAAGTAAATTTTCGAAATGGCGGCCATTAACTTCGATACACAGCCTACATCGTCTTAAAAAATTTGCTTTTAGTCTTCGAAAAGCATTCGTATTTTCTTTGATTTTTTCTGCGCACTGTCTCAATTTTTCCCTTAATTCATTTTTCCGAATTAATTTTTCTAGCATACACCATCTCTTTGTAGAATCCCCAAATTAAAAAATCTATAGGGTTTAAATCTGGTGAGCGTGCAGGCCATTCGATTGGCCCTGCACGCCCTATCCACCTTCCTGGGAAAGTTCTGTTGAGGTGCTCCCTCACTTGTCTTTCAAAATGGCAAGGAGCACCGTCATTTTGAAATATCATATCCCTCCTCGTTTGTAAATTACTGACTGTAATGTTACTGTACTGTTTGTAATTGACTGAGAGAATAACTCATTGCTAAAAGTAATCCAAATCACTAAGCAACTCAAGGTCCATAAAACAAGCACAGGTCAATCGTAAGGCAAATCAAGAATCCGGGAAACAAAGCGAAGGTAGTCAAATAAGAGATCCAAATAAACGTAAACGTGAGTAGTGGTTGCACGCGGGAAAGCAGTGAACGACTGGCGGGACCGAGCGAGGTGAAAAAGGGACGCGGTCGGTGTGGCGCGGGGCGCGGGGTGCGGCCTGGTAACAAAATAGAGCGCAAAGCAGGAATGTTTACCTGAGCCTTTGTTTAAAATTCCTTTGTGTGTTTGTGACTGAATGTGCTATCATTTAGTTTCAGTGAAATAAAAAAAAACATGTAGTTTGTAGTAAAATGATACCTTAATAAATGTCACGTTTTAACAATAAGTAGTTTTCTTTGCTAACCTGAAGCATTTACTATCTTAGTTTAGCCTTAGAAATGATAAAAAGATTTTTTAAATCAAATTAACTATTTAGGTAGTTTCCTTCCTGAGTAACTTCAGAAGTCTGTAACAGAAAAACTGGCCTATTAAGTGTCATTTTTTTAATGTTATTATGAAAGATTAAGGTACTGCAAAGTTTTTAAAATTAATTAGAAAGTATGAAATAATTTATTACTATTTTTCATTTAATGTTGAAAATTCAAGCCCCACTCTCCTGACAGAAAATTTTTAAGTTTCGTTTAAAATTATTGTATCTTCGGTGAATGTTAGGAAGCTAATTATTTTATGCATAATAGGGCAACTCATAAGGATCATGCTACAAACAAAAAAAACTTGGAAAAAATTTCACAATTACATTTTTTTTAATGTTAAGCTGTTTAGGGTGAATATTTTCAAAGGTAAATCATAATCGAAAACTACGAAAAATCGCGTAACATACATAGGGTATTTTCGGATACCTCTAGGTGTAAGGAATCAAAAAAAAATTATAACCTCACTGTTTGGACCACCTGTTTGTTTGGTTGTATATTATTTGAAAACTTTAAAAAATTCAAAATAGTTATTAACGCAGTTTCCTATATTATATAACCCCCCCCTGAAGTGATCATTATTTTGATCATACCCCTGGTGACTAAAATAATGATCAGCAATTTTTGCACAGATATAGCCAGATAAAAATAGCCTTTATATAACCTGGGGTCATTACTTTTAACATTTTGCTTACTTTAAGTACAATAGATGATACACAAACATTTTAAAAACAATGTTTGGTGTGTCATCTATATAAATCCAGTGGATTTGTTAGTTCTTAAAATATTTTAATTAGATTTTTTTTACAGATTTACTATGTGTATAGAACGAAAGTAAACGACTAATAGCATAATAAAACATGCCACTTAACCAATCATTCAAAAACACAGAACACTTCACCTAACTTAAAATATTATTGCCATTATTTTGTGTACTAATAATGCATTGAATGCAGGACATAGACATCAGGAGATAGACATTACAATATATTCAACCAAATTGTGTCATTCCAAAAAGGTACACATGACAGTTCGTAGTTTAAAAGTTACTCAACTATTTAATAAGCTTACACTGATTTGTTTGCTAATCAAATACTTTTAGAACACAAAACAATACTAAATACATAAATTCACTACCCACCCTTAACTCTCACATGCGTGTCTGCAGCATTGTCAATAATTGTACCTGAAATACAGATTCCCATATATATATATCTCATAAATTAGATAATATTGTTCACCCATTTAGTTTATATTAAGTCAATTAACATTACAATAAGTTTTTATTATCACATGTAGGTATTTTTCTTAACATTAAATATAATTTACATCTCTTACCTTTATTTGGTGCCAGTTTGAGATAATCTTCTTTAGAAATCTTGCCTTCCACAACCAACTGAAATATTTTATTTTGTAAAAATTATGTAAAGTTGAAGCTACCCTTAATAAATTAAATTAGAGATGGGCCAAATATTCATTTCATATTTTGTATTCTGCATATTCTAAAGCATTACCGAATGTTCATATTCAGCTGAATATTCGGCTAAATCACCAAACAGTTAGTGTACTCAAAGTGTCCACTTTATTGAAATGTACGAATTGAGTAATACCATGTTCATAACTTTACTCTTGAAGGTATATTTTATTTATGGGTTAAATCTACTTGATTAGCATTATGTGTTTGAGGGATTGTAGATTTACAAAGCTTGATAAAACGTTTTTGGAATCAAACAAAGAAACATTACATTACATTAGTACATTTCACTTTACATTGGTCGTCAGTTTCTCTAAAATAAGTCCAAATAGTAGATCATCACTCGTTTTTATCAATTAATTATCAATTTCCACTAAAAATAACATAATGAAATACTTTTTTTCTCACAAAAATAGTTAAAACATAGCAAATTTCCAGCACATGGCTGGAAATTTGCTCAGTATTATATCTTGATAATGCAATAAGGTGTCAGGTGTGGTGGAGGAGCGAGAGGCAGGGTCAGAGGAGATAAAAAGCACAGAGTAATTTTTATATACCTGAAAGGCAACAAGTTTCAACATAAATTGGTTAGGTACTGAGGTGATCCTGCCGAATAATGTTCAGCCGAATATTTGTATTCGGTGAAATCCATATTCAGCCTGTCTCTAAATTAAACATTCATATAAATATTTGAATATTAGAAATATATTTACTTTTGCTAAAGCATCAAATGGTTTTTCCTGTGGAGTTGGTGGATCTAAAACTGCAGCAATAACAGCAGGATTTGCAGGAGTACTTTGCAGAGGTGGAGGAACCATGGATGGAGCTGAGTTCACAACTGGTGCAGAGACAGCCTGCACCAAGCCTATGTTGGGTGGTGCTCCATATTCATATGAAGCATTATAACCAACATAAGGTTCACATTGAGAATATGAATACTGTGGTGCTCCAGGATATGCATTTAAGCCAGGGTTTGAATAAAACTCAGCTTGTCCAGTTTGGTATTGGTTTGAGATTGGCAGAGCTTGATTTGAAGAGTGATGTTCATTTGGGTATAGAAAGGTATCTTTCTGTTGAACTGACGGAGAGTCCCTCTCAGTATAGGAATATGCCATAGGTGATGGTGAATGAAATCTCTCATCTCTCCTATGTTCGAGTGGGCTGTGTCGAGATGGACTCCGTTGTACAGGGCTATATCGAGGTCTACTACTACGTCTTGCACTGAAGCCTGGGCTATAGTGTCTTCTTGGTCTCCAACTGGGACTAAAATGACGAGGCTTATGGTGTGGGCTATAACGAGAGTGATGATGATTGATATAATTGATGCGTCGAGGACTGCGGTAAATGCTGCGTCTTTCCTTATGCTGATAGGGTCGTCTCGGTGATTCTCTATATTTAATTTCTATTGATGGCTGTTTTGAATAGTGTGCTACTGGACTACTTGATATATTTCTTTTTTTGGTAGTAATTGTTGGTTCATTAAGAAAATCATCAAGTTCCGTTCCAGGAGGTTTAAGATCATCAATTGAATCCAAATGTTTGCTTAGGTATTCTTTTACTTTCACCTGCTTGTCTTTCCTAATTGCTTCATTAGTTTTGCGAAGGTCTCGACGACTACCAGGTTTAATGTAATTATCTAATTGACTTGAATTACTTTCACGCCGCTTGCCGCTGGAATGCCTTTTAAACGAAGAATCACGCTCATATCGCCTCCGTTTGTATCGATCTTCGTATTTTTCTTGACGACGACTTTCTGTTTCATTTCTTCCATCCCTGATGAGCTCCCGTAGATCTCTAACGCCATCAAGTGCTACAGCGTCAATGCGACTTCGGGAACTACGCTTCTGGACCCCTTCTTCAACATCCCAGCTATCTATTACACTGAGACCTTCTATAAACTCATCTTTACTAAAGTCATCAAAAAAATCACTTGGAATATCCTCGTCAGACAATTCGTTTTGCTTTTGTGACTCCATGTGAAGAAAACAAAACAGAACGCGGTTAAATTATATTTTTACCTATAAAATAAAATACTTTTCTACAACTTATAATACAATTAAAATTATATCTACTTAGTAGTCTCGTGAGTTTTCAGTTTCAAACCCTAAAACTGAAGAAAATATATATACCAAAATAGAAAACACACTATCTTTCCATTATGAATTTCCTGCACAGAACCATAGATTACTGACTATGTACTAGAGACACAGAACACAGATTAATAAATGTGTAGTGTAGATGTATTAGGATTCTCTGTCTACGGTATATAGTGATCTGTGTTATTGTGCGTAGCGTAGACAGAGAAAGCGTAGTAGTAGTATCCTCTTAGTACCCTACTTAGTAGTCTGTGGTTATTGTGCAGTTTGTGTTTGTGTATAGTTGTTTGAATTGTGTGTTGTTTTGTTTTATTTCAATCAAATACAAAATGTTTTATTGAAAACGAATTATTTAAATAATATATTATTAATTATTAAATAACATGGAGTGTACTCAAAGACTTGAGTGTACACAAGAAGTTAATGGCAGTCCGCAAGAAAAGTCTTTTCCTGAGCAGGTTTAAATAAATATTTATTTTGCTCATTTAGATAAAAATGTATTGCGTTATATTAAGTACAAACACAAACCTACAGAAACCAAGTTTAATACAATATAATAGTCATTTAAATTTAATAGAATACTATTTGGTTATTAACCTCTTATTAAGTCTTAAAAAACTTTATTTTTTCTTCTGTATTAGCCAGAAAAATGTAGTTTCAAAGGGCAGGTGTACAGAGGAACGCAGTACAGACATCGCGCACTTTTGACAATGCTGACCATCACCAGTTTGTATATTTTACATCTAGTGTAAAAGGAATAGTTTTAATGCATCTATCGAAAGTCTTGAGTCCTTTTGGCCTTTTCCATAGTCACAGTCCGGATACCCAAAAGTAAAACCAGGTGATGTAGTCATTTACCATTAAGTGTCATTTAAAATAGCTGATAATGAGTATTCATGGCAACAAATAAATATAAAATGGGGTTAGTAATAGCTGAATTGGTTTATTGTATCTTATTATATCACAAATATTGTGTTTCAGAATTTAAAAACTAAGTGTGAGAAAGTGTTAGAGCTATATGTATATGATATAAGAATGTTTTGGGACATTCCAAAGTTGAGCTGATCTATTTGTGCTATAAGTATAATATAGCTGCAACTTTGCTACCCAATATTAAAAATCTTGTTAAATAACTTTTCTAAGGCTGTAATATACTCATTGTTGCATATTAATTAATTTAAATTTAAATATTTAATAAAAATATTTTGTCCAGATTGGGTTTTTGGGAATATGTGGTACAAAATATCCCGTGAAGAAAGGTCCAAACAAAATAGGAAGAGATCCACAGACATGCAACATTGTTTTAAATTTAAATGTAAGTACTAATTTGTTTATTTTTTGTATTCAATCTTTCCTGCAATGTAGGAAGTCTGCCCTTTGTAACATCTAGTTGAAGTTATTTGCAATAAAGGATGAAATAAAATAAATAAAAACAATTTGGTCTACTAAATAAGTTTTGCCTGAAATTATTTAATCAATTTTCTGAACAATGGTTTAAAAATATTAAATTATGTTGTATCACAATTATTTTGTGATATATGTTATACTAGTGGGTAATGTACAAAATATCAAAAAAGTGTATGTTCTTAACATCTTGCTTGCTATAAAATATATCTATTTTTGGACGGATTACAGTAGCCCCAAAGTGCTATATTTTTTTTATAGAAGAGGGGGCAAACAAGCATACGGTTCACCTGATGTTAAGCGATTATAGCTGCCCATGAACAACCACAACACCAGGGGAATTGCAGGTGCATTGCCGGCCCTTTAGAATGGAGTAAGCTCTTTTCTTGAAGATCCCTAGGTCGTATCAGTCCAGAAAAATCGCTGGTGGTAAACTATTCCACGCATTGTATGCGGAAGAAAACTTCTAGTGAAATGTTGATATGTTTGTGAATGCAATGAAACGACCGCTGTCTTGTAACACTCGTTTATTACTAGTTGGATGACCGTACTACACACGTATATGTCATTCCTCCCCACTTAATTCTTGGAACCTGGTAACAAGGTTTCTTAATTAAATACAGTAAAAATTTTTTTGTCTACATAAACTTAACAACTAATAATAACTATTAACAATAATTAGCGAACTTGATCTCTGCGTAACTATAATTAACAATCGCTACTTAAAAATACTTTTTATAATCCACCCTTGGTCTTGTACGTTTCGGGCGTGTGGCTAAAAGTGGCAATGTTGGCGGTACAAGGGAATCGCCAATTGTGGACGGCACAGCCTCCGTTTCTGCCATAGGCCTTTCTACGGGGGCAATGTTGTCCTTTTCATACTCCCTAGTCTCACAGTCACTTACTTCTTCTGCCTCACCGTGGTCAGATGAACCAAGATTCGGCGCTCCAGTATTCGAGGGCGATTGCAGCTCAGCCGTCTGCATATTCGTAGCCTGTTCCATACTTTGCTCCGTATTACTTATAGCCGGAAACATAGGCTGTTGCGCGGGAGGGTGTGCATTTACAGTAGCCGGCGATGTGGAGGGGCAACGAGTCTCCTCAGCAGCGACAATATCGTCGCGACTACTGTCTGAACCCGTATATCTAATAATTTGATCCACATGTCTAATACACCAAACCTCCATGTCCCTAATATGAATTTTATACATTTTATTTCCTATTTTTTTCCTTTATTCTACCTAACTGCCAAGATTCTTTTCGTGCACTGTACCATCGGGTCCAAACGATATCGCCGATTTCAAAAGATCTTTTCCCGGCTGCCGTAAGTGAATTAGAATTATGATTTTTTAAGGGTAAAATCAAATCGAGACGCGACCGCAAATTTCTGCCGAACATTAACTTTGCCGGCGTTTCACCCGTGGTACAATGCACGGTATTTCTATAGTTAAATAGGTACCCTAATAACATGTCGTGAACTTTGTGCAAAGGTAAATTGTCAATTAATAAACATTTTAACATTTTTTTACATGTTCTTACTGAATTCTCAGCTTGACCGTTACTTGGCGGATGGTAAATGGGTGACGTCATGTATTTTATGCCATTCGATGAACAAAATGTCTGAAACTCGAGTGAATTAATTTTTACATCGTTGTCGGATACTAAAACATTTGGTATTCCAAAATTAGAGAAAACGCCTTTTAATTTTGTTATTAAAGCATTAGATGAGGTTCCGTTATGCATGTATAGACATTCAATCCATTTACTGTAGGAGTCGACGATTACCAGATATACCCTCTGTCCTACAGTCATGTAATCAATGTGCACTCGTTGCCATGGCGCGGTGGAGGGAGGCCAGGGCGCGGGGGGGTCGCGCGGCGGGGCGGCCCGCACGCTTGCGCACGTCGCACATGATCCGATCCAGCGTTCGATGTCCCGGTCAATACCGGGCCACCACATTCTACTTCTAGCGTTACATTTAGTTTTGGTTATTCCTAAATGAGAATCATGAAGCTCGCGTAACATTCTATCTCTCAACCCGAGTGGTATAACAATCCTATGTCCCCTAAAAAGACAACCATTCTCATATTGTAAATCGGACTTGCAATGAAAATAAGGTAAAATAGATTTACATTTTAATTTACGCGGCCACCCGTGTTGCATGTACCTAAGCACGGTTTTAATCGTCCTATCTCGCTCCGTCGTCTGCGCAACGTCGCGGGCCGAAGTGGCCGGCGATGACGCATCGAGAAACCTAACTGCATAATGAGTGTCTATATCGTTTGTATCTATATCGTTCGACGACTCGTTGACGCATTTTACAGGAGCGCGTGAGAAGTAATCGGCCACAATATTATTTCCGCTAGATACATATTGTACGACATAGTTATAAGCGGACAATATAACTGAGTATCGCTGCAGTCTTAGCGCAGTAGTAACAGGAATACCTGTTTTAGGATTAAAAATTGATACCAATGGTCTGTGGTCGGTTTTCAGGATAAAAGGATCTTCGCGACCGTACAAATATTGATGAAAGCGTCGGACCCCGAAGATAATGGCCGTCGCTTCCTTCTGTATCTGGCTATAGTTTCTTTCACTGCTCGTAAGTGAGCGAGATGCATACGCTAGCGGGCGTTCGATGCCGTCCTCCGCCCTTTGTGAGAGTACGGCGCCGAGACCGGTCGGGCCGGCGTCCACCGCCAGCACTAGCTGCGCCGCTGGCTCGAAATGAGCCAACACGCGTTCTGACGCCAGTTCGCGCCGTATCGCTGCGACGCTTTGTCGCTGCCGTTTTCCCCATTCCCATTTTGCATCTTTACGTAATAGCTCATGTAGAGGACTCAGTACAGAAGAGGCGTTTGGAATAAAATTTCTATAGTAGTTGACTACTCCTAGAAATCTTTTAACTTCGGTGACGTTATTTGGTTCCGGTGCACTAAGAATGGCTTGTACTTTATCCGGACAAGTCCTTAATCCCGTTTTACTAATCACGTAACCCAAATACCTGACGCTTTCTCTGAAAAATTGACATTTGTCTTTTTTGTAAACGTAGGCCTGCCTTACATAGTCTATCTAGGACTTTACTTAGCCGCTGCATGTGGGAATTTCTATCGGGGCCCGTGACACAAATGTCATCAAGCCATATGCTTACCCCGTCTATTCCTGATAAGAGTGTCTCCATGGTCCTTTGAAAAATGGCTGGACCACTAGAAAGGCCGTACACTAACCTAGTGTATTTAAAAAGTCCTTTATGCGTATTAATTGCCGTGAGCTCCTGAGACGCGTCATCTAGGACGAACTGGTTGTAAGCGTTTTTTAAATCAATTTTACTATAGTGCTCACCCCCTCCAATTTTGGCAAAAACCTCTTCAATTCGAGGCAGGGGATATTTTTCTATTATGAGATCCTTATTTAATGTAATAGAAAAATCACCTGCGATTTTAACTTGGCCATTATCTTTTAAAACTGGCACAATGGGGGTGGCGTATTGAGAATAATTAATAGGAACAAGGATACCCAAGTGCATTAATCGGTTTAGCTCTTGTTCGACTTTATCTCTGAGGGCAAAGGGTACAGTACGCGGTTTAAAAAACTTAGGCACAGCATTCGCCTTCAACTGCAAACTGACTTTAAAGTTATTAAATGCGCCCAACTCGTCACGCCACAACGCCGAATATTTATTTAATAACTCATGCAATTCGGAATCATTTCTTATGTAATTTAATTTAGTAGTAATCACAAAATTAAAGGCGCTCATGAAATCCCTACCTAGTATAGGCGGTCCCCCATTTTTGACAACAAAATATTTAATCAATTTTGTACTGTTATTGTAACTAGTTTCTACAGTAATATAACCTAATGGATCAATCTTGTGTCCGTTATATAAGCACATTTTTACAGAACTACTACGTAATGAATATTTTAAGAATTTTTCCTTATATGTATTATAAGAAATCACACTTTTACTTGATCCTGAATCAAGCTCCATTGTCATACACTGATTACCTATTATTACATCAATTGAAATGGGCTTATCAGTCACATACCTCAAATTAAAATTGTGGCACTCCTCACAAGACGTGTCCTTGACCTGCTCTGGTTCGCTTACCGACTCGATATGGTACATCCGCGATCTATTGATACTATCGCACACTTTCTTTAAATGACCTTTTTCACCGCACTTTTGACATTTGTAACTTTTATAACGGCACTTATCACTTTGGTGGTTCTTCAAGCCACAGACCGAACAACGAGAAAAATCTCTCGGTTGGTCGCGACCTCCTGATGTCCTGCCAGCATTAGGACGCCGTATAACCGCGCCGCTGTCTCCTTGACCTTGAAATTTCGCTCGGTATACCGGTTCCTCCTTAATTGGAGCATGTTCGCTGGTGCACAACATAACCTTCGCCCGCCTGGCATACGCCGCCTGCTCGGCTAGCTCCATAGCTACTGACAGTGTCAATGTGGACGGATCTTGTTCGAACAACTTATCTTGTTCCGGGCCAGGGCCCAGGCCGAGGACGAAACGATCTCTTAAATTCGTTTCCAAGGCAGTGCCGAAGTCACAATTGCTTGCGAGACCTCTCAATCGCGCTGCCCAGTCTCCCAATGATTCGCCTGGATTTCTGGTTGCTCCAAAAAATTTTTCTTTATCCACAAATGAGCATTTTTTTGGCTTGAAATGACCGTCGAGTAATTTAACGAGATTCGAGTAACTTAGAGATTCTAAGTCTTGCGGGTACGCTAAGTTTCGTACCAAGCGATACGTTTCATCCGTAAGATGGGTGAGAAGAATTCCACTTTTGTTCACTTCTTCGACGCGATTTATCTTCGAAAACTGAGTTAGTCTGCTTTTGAAAATTGACCATTCACTTGACTTATGGTCAAAAATAGGCAGATTTCCCAGATAAGCCATTTTTTTTTTTTTAATTGTGGGTACTCCTTCTTCGTCGCCAATGATATGTTTGTGAATGAAATGAATCGACCGATTTATTGTAAGACTCGTTTATTACTAGTTGGATGACCGTACTACACACGTATATGTCAAATGTACTAATATGTGTAATAATGTATGTAATGTGTGGATGGTATTGGGAGGTTTGCCGCATAGTGCGTTCATGAAATTTGGCGCCTGGGATTAATCTGCGGCGGCGGTTGTTGATAGTATGCAGCCTTGTGGAATACCAGCGTTAATAGGCTTGTAATCAGAGCTTGCACCGTCTACAACGACCTTGATGCTCCAATCTAAGAAAGCTGGTGATACAATTGCACAATTTCTCGGGAAGCCCATAGGAAGGGAGCTTCGACAAAAGCGCTTTGTGCCAAACCCGATTGAAGGCCTTCGTAATGTCCAAACTAATGGCTAATGCTTCCCCCTTGGATTGCTATCCATATTGTTTACTCATTTATTATCTTATCTCTATATATAAAAGTCAATTGTTGTTCATTAGTCTCACTTAAATTTGAAAATTGCTTGACTGATTTTTAAACACCGATGAAAAAGTGGGGTGTTATAAGTTTGACAGCTAAGTCTGCCATGCTAACGTTGAAAGCAATTTTTCGACATTTACGCAAAATTGACTTTTAAACAATACTACAATATTGCAAAAAATGTTATTTACTGATCTTGTAGGTATTTTTCTACCTATGTTCGTTGTAGTATGGCTAGGAGTTATGAGATAATATGGTTATAAAATAATGTCAAAACTTATTATAACTTATTATAACCAAGAGGCGATTGCTTTCAGATTAGTTAATATTATTTTAATTAACATATTAAGGCTTCCAGGCAACAAAGGCATCTAGCTTTGCTATTTTTACTTTTCCAGTCATTAGAGGTGGCACTCTCCCTTGCATAAATACATTCGAGGTCACAGGTGAAGGTTGCTCTACTTCATTAAATATGTAACTTATTAATTTTTTTCCAAAAATATTCCTTTTACTTTTGTCATGGTAGTATAATTTTTTGCCCTTTTATATTTCATAAATGTCTTTTTCAGTAATGTTTATACGGGTTGTAGGTTTAAAAAGGGTATATACAACCGAAGGTAAATAATAACTGCCTCTTTATACAAATTTCGACTCCACCTTGTACATTTTGTATGAAGAATCAGTAAATTTTTTTCTATTTTCGAATGTTTTTGTATTAAATGTGGGCTCAGCTCTATGGTTCCAGCTCCTCCCTTCATATCGGATGTATATGATTTTTTTTATACAATCTGTACATACAAATAACGCTTGTACCTGTTTTTTTAAAAAGAGAAATTGTATAGGGAAGTAATTTAGAAGGCAGTTGATAAAAAAAATCAAACAAAAAATGATTGAATACACATATTATACTTATTTATTTAGTTTGTTACATCATTAAAAGTAAGGAAATTTTTTCTTGGAATTACTTCGACACCTTGTTTTATTCTATAATCTTTAAGCTAAGCTCTTCTACTCATAAAACAACTTGATTGGCGTGAACCGCATCAAATTCGGTTGATTCGTTCGAGAGATATCGTTGTCGTGTGTTTTTTCAAAATAACTTGAAAAATTTTCGTCAAATCAATTTTTTGTGATAAATGATTTTGTTAAGCTCTAAAAACCGCGTTAATTGCAGGAAACCACATAAAAATAAATAAAGCTCTAAACGTCTTAACAGAGAGTTTGAAGTGCTTTGCATTTGAAATTAGCGGGAAGTTTCAGGGGATGGCCTGTAGGCCTGTATCAACCGTATGTTTCATATTTATACTGCAACGATGCGACACGGATATTTTGAATAACATGCTTTATATTTTGTTTTAGTCTGTATCCAGACAACATGCTGTTATTAATATTTTAAACGATAAAGAATATATGATCATGGATTTAGATTCAGCCAACAAAACAAGATTACTTGATGTGAGTATGTTTTACTCTTTGTTTGTACAATGTAATTCACAAAGTAATATTTAGCATTTACATATTAAGCATCCAGTATTTTTTCTAAATAAAATATTATTTGCTTTAAACATGGTGATGTTATCTTATACAATAAATGAAAATTCTAAATGATACTAGCTGGATTGAAGTATTTTGTAATATTTTTCTAATTTTTTACGAAAACGTTATCAAACAATTGAATTTTCTCCTGTATCGTAGAGAGAGTTTACATACATTAATTTCACAAGGACAAACATCCAGACCCGGAACATTTATTTGTAAGACATACAAATATTTGTTTCATGCAGGATTCGAACCCGCGGCTCTTAGTAGTGTAACTAATTGCTAAGCCACTGCGCCACGGAGTCATCAATATATTTAAAATGGCTATTTTTGTTTTTATATCAAAATTAAATACGGTAATTTTTCAAAGGGTTTGGTAAGCTGAAGTGGTAATGGGCCGGCTATATAGCTCGAAGAATCGACAACCGATGGGGAAGAAAGGATCTCAAGTGGCGGCATCGTACCGGTAGGCGAAGTGTAGTGCGGTCCCCCACTAGATGGTGTCACGAAGACATGCAGGCAGTCGATGGATGCAGGAGGCTCAGAAGCGTGCTTTGCGGCATTCCTTGGGAGAGGCCTATCTTTGGCAGTGAACTTGTGAAGGGCTGTAATGATTATAATGAGTTTTTCAAACAAAATATATATATATATGAAAATGTGAGACCTTTGTTTGCCCGTTTGCTGTTGCACGCCGCCGTGCTGGCTAGATTCATATAGAAGTCAGGATAGAATGTCTAAATGTCAACGTCGCTTTATTTAGGATCCTCAATTTACTAACCCCTATCAAACATTGCTTCGTTAAAAGTATAAATACATTGACATTACATGTAAAAATTATTAAAACACAATAAATTTATTTACTGTAGCTAAACGACTGAATGTATTTGATGTTCGGTGTACATTGATAAAACGGTTTTTAGTGTACCTGGTATCATTTAATGTATTTAACGTAGTATCACTTTGTGTATTGTCGTATCTGTTAAATTATGTGCCCACTTTTACAGAAAACTTTGCCACCATATATACCTCAACCTCTTAAAAATGGCGACACTGTTCAATTCGGTCAAATTTTCGGTGTTTTCCGATTGCTTGAAGAGGATAATGATCTACCCATGACACAGGCTTTAGAAATTCCTGAAACACCTATTGTGAATAGGCATATATCAAAATTAAACAATTTTGCTACTACCACTATACCGGAGTCACCAGATGTTAACGATAAAGTAAGTTTTTTATAGTTATTTTTGCTTATTTAATATTTTTAGTTCTGTTAATTTGGCCTATTGAATAAAAAATAATTTTAATTGGTTTAGTCATTTAACATAAATAAAAAGAACATACCCGTCGAATACAGAATACAGAACCTTCTCAATTTTTGAACGTGGTCAATAATATACTTTAATTTTTATCTACCCATGATGAATATCAATAATAATGTACCTATAAACCAGAAGTCGTTCCCTTACCTCTTCACTATTGAGATCACGTAAATATGAGACTTCTTTCTGAGACTGAAACATACCAATATCTGGGTATGTCAAAGAGCATAGGTATCGATAAAGCATTTAGTACGCGATGTGACACGCTTGACAAAGTTCTTAATAGTCTTTCAGGAACTACTCTATATTAAACTACGATTTTTGTATTTTTTTCTGATTGGCTATAAGTTGCCATGACCCACAATTTTACAATTTCCATTATTCAATAATAATATTCTATTATTACAATAATTGGAACTCCTTACAAAAAGGTTTTTTTTTATTAGACTGTAGTACATATTGCAAACATTTAACACTGTTTAGGTATTTATTAATTCTCTGTCATAATATTTTTATACATTTCAATATTTTCAGGATGAATCATTTATTGTGGCCTCACAACATAAAAATGAAATAGGATTTAAAAGCCCAAACAATCACTTTATTAAACCCGGAAGAGCAATTGCTATTCAGCCAGTAGGAACAAATAAAATCGATAATATTTACTGGAACTCCTCAAAAAAATCTGCTTCATTTGAAATGCATTTAGACGATTCGGGTGATGATATTGTTGAAACTCCATTGAAATCTACTGATATAGTTTCTAATAAAAGCATTTATGAAATGGATACTCAAGTTCCTTTTCTTACTGAACAAAATCAATTTTCAGATGCTATATATAATGCAAACACTCAGCTACCGTCAAATATTTCATTATCATCTAATACTTCTACCTCGGAAACAAATTTACCAAAAAATGATAATTTACCTGAGATACAAAAGATTCACAACCAACTTGAGATGAAACTTGATCTGTTTGTAGAAAATAAAGAAAATAATAATTGTATTTATAATGCAGAAACACAGCAATTTGTTTTAAGCAAAGAGGAAAAAGAAGGAAATACAGGACAAAAGATTGATCAAAAAGTTGCAGAAGCTCTTGAAAACGCACCCAAAAAAAGTCTAAATATATCTGATGAAGAAATTCTGTTTGACGAAGTGGACAATGAACCATTTCAAGATGATTTTGAATCTCAACCTATAATATTAGAAGCGGAAATTTTAGATTCCAAAGAAACTAATACAAGTGTAAATAAAAACAATGGTGACCAGAAACTTATGAAGAGAAGAGTACGGATAAACAGTGACAGTTCAACCGATTGTGAAGATTTTGATATGTTGCCTACTCAGAAAATTCAAGACAATCAAAATTTTACATCTGGGTGTAAAGAAAATGTACTTATTACTGATAAATTACGGAACAAAAATACTTTAAATATACTAGAAAACCTTAAGACAAATGATGACAGTACTGACTGCGAAGATAATTTATTGGAAACTAGAAAAAAAGTAAATCAAAATGCTCATGATAAGCCAGATGATGATGATTCTACTGACTGTGAAGATGATATCATCCCTTGTAATTCAAATGCCATTATTAAAAAAGATGATGAATGGATTAATTTTGAGAATATGGCAATTGATAGGCCTAATGAGGCAGACAACATAAAAAATAAAACAGTATCTTCGGACTTAGAGTTTGAAGATATGCCGACACAGGTGATCGAAGAAATAAACATTCAAAATGATTCGATGAATATCGGTAAAAGTGCAAAAGAATCTTCATTTGAAGATTTACCAACCCAATTATTAGAAGTCGAATCTCCAACGGAAGTATTTAAACAAAATGAGATTGCTATAGATAAAAGCCCCTTTAAAGTTCCAATGTCATGTTTTAAAAAAAGTAAAAGAAAAGAAGTTAACAAATCAACTAATTTGTTAAATAAATTTGAAGAGAAAAAAATGAAAAATCGTATAATGGATGATGATAATTTCTATGAAGCAACCCAAGACATATTTAATGATTTATGCAGTCAGAAGGATACATGTTCAGATATTAAGCAGTTAAGCACGGACATCGGTGGTTGTGGTATCATAACTCTAAGTTCCGAAGAAAAAGAGTTGATTACAAGAAATTTCGGTGTTGACATATCTTCAGAAAGTACTGACGAAGATCATAAAATAAATAGATTTGTTACTAATTTATCAAATCAGCAGGTTAAAGATATTATCGGAGTTGAAGGCAATAAAATAACCAAGGTAAAAAAGACGCTTAGTGATAACTCAGATATCGATATTACGCCTAAAAAACTAATCCCCCATGCATTAATGGAAACTGAGTTGCCAAATAGTCAAGAAATAAAAACATCTGTGACACTAAGTTCAAGAACACTAGTTACTGATTCATCAAGTGAGTCTGATACGGAACACGATTCACAAGATCAGTTTACTCCAATTCTGTTCCGAAAAAATAAAAAAAATAAAAGTGCTAAGTTAGATTTATCAAAGAAATTCGAAGTGGAAAAATTGCCTTCCAGAATTATAACGCGAGTAAGAAAACCTTCCGCGAAATTACTAAATAGTGACATGAATTCAAAAAATACTGCCAAAAATATATTAAAACCTAAATTTATCACAGAACAAGAAGAAAATATTGATAAAGAAATTATAACTGAAAATATATCTCGTCTTAAAGGCAAAACTGATAAACGTAAAAATGGCAGTGACGGCGGGAAGTCGGATAGTAATAAGAAATGTGATGAACAAAATAATTCGAAACATGTGAAATCAGACACCAACAATTTACCCAAGAACACTCAAAATCAGCCAGTTAATGTAGAAAAAATAAGTGAAAAGAAAAAGGACGATAAACTGTATGAACGAAAACAAATCGAAACTAAGAAAAATTCACGTGAACACTTCAAGAAACATAAAATAAATGACCACAAAAAAACAGATATAATAAAAAATGACGACAAAACGACAAGTGATAAATCACTTAAAACATCAAGAGAAGCCTTAGAAAGGAGTGATAAATTAGAAAAATCACGTAAAGAATTTCATAAAGCAAGAGATAGTACAGAGCTTCTAACGAGATCTGAAGCAGCAAATGAACTGTCAAATCCTAAAGTAAATCAGGACGACATAAATCAAACATCCAAAGAAGAAGTAAGTGTTACTCGTTCTAGAACTAGACGTAAGAAAAACGATTGCAAAGATGAAATCAAATGTACTAATAAAGAAACAAAAGATAAGACCAAGTTGTCAGAAAATGGTGATAAAAGAAAACGTAGTTATGAAGATCAAAACCACAATAATTCATCAGCGGTAAAAGAGATAAGACGAAGCAAGAGACAGAGGACAGTTAAAAATAACTTGGAAGTAGATATTGAACTATGTACGAAATCTAACTCAAAAAAAAATAAACCACTTAAACACGAGCAAAGTACTGTATACGGTATTCATAGTATCTCATCTGAATCAGGAAGAGATTCTCCGAATGATAAAAGTTTTAAGAGACCTTCAAAAGACGAAGTAGTTGTAAATGTCAAGAAAACTAGGTCAGAAACAAAATCGGATGACAGTACGTCATTAAGATCTACTCCAAGAAACATAAAAACACATCGAGTTTTATTTACGGCATTTCCCTCTGACGAAGTCAAAGGAAAATTGGAAAAATGGGGTAAGCCGTCTTGATTACTAATAATTCCATTTTCTTATATTAGGTGAGTGTATCTTATTTTACTGGACAAATACGACTGTGAACTTGCTGCGACTCGCTCCCATTACTCCAACTGAAACTTGTTAACTATGTATGGTACCAAGATGAACGCAAACAAACTCAATATTATGGAATATAGTCCACTTATCCATCCATTACAGCCTATAAAACTTCATCACTATTGAACATAGGCCTCCCGCATAGATTACCTTATATGGGCAGTTAAATAAGGAAAAGATTTTGTCACAGTTGCCAGTTGCCACGCTTGGCAGGCAAGTTAGCAACCAAAGACTTTTTGTTATTTTGAGTTGTGATCAGGCAGAAGCTACTGCTATATAGCTTGAAGAACCGATAACCGATGTGGAAGAAAGGTTCTCGAGTGGCAGCCTCGTACCGGTAGGCGTAGTGTAGGGCGACCCCCCACTAGATGTAGTGACGACTTGGTAAGATATGCAGGAACTCGATGGATGCAGGTGGCTCAAGACCGAGCTTTGTGGCATTACTTGGGGGAGACCTATGTTCAGCAGTGGACTTGTGAAGGGCTGTAATGAATGAACGAATGAAAAAAGAAGCTACTGCCCATCTCGTTTCAGTTTCGCTCTGTCGCCTATGGAACATAATGATAACCGTAAAAGCTGCTTAGTATATAGCCTTGGGCAAGGTAAGGTCGAGCTCGTCAACGAATTTATTTAAATGTCAAAGTTTGTCAATTTTTTTCTGTTTTTTAGAAACTTCATTCACACTAACTTACCTTTATCCAATTTAACATACTCGTACATAACATAAGAACATTGGAAGTGGGTTGAGATGCTGTTTCAGAGGTACAAGCATAATCATTCTTATATGTGGTAGAGCCATGTTGCAATTATATTAGTAGTATAGTTGTAACACGAATGGGTCGGCTCGACCGGGGAAGGACCACGCTCTCACAGAATACCAGCGTAAAATAGTAGCTTAATGTTGCTGTGTTTCGTGTGGTTCGAGTGTAGAGAGTGTAGTACTGGAAAAGAGGCGTTCCATCATAGTCCTCACAGGTGACAACGCATCTGCGTTTTGATTTGTAATCGAGGATGGATGTAGATGTCTATGGGCCGCAGCAACCACTTACCAACAGATGGAGTGTGTGCTCGTTTGTCACCCTATCCTATAAAAAAAATCACATTTCCAGGCACGAAATACAATAATTTTTGTTTTTTTGAACAGATTTGGCCTAGAGAAACCATTAGTACGTACATAAGGACTATTATTTACAATTCCTCGTTTTCCTCTGTTTCCTTCTTCGTTTCGTAAACTGTTAGTTGGGTCTGAAACTCTCCTACTATGGGCAAGCACTTTTAACACAGTTTTCTATTGTGGGCCGGGGTCGACCTAATATATGAGATAGTTATATACAACCATCTGTTGAAGGCAACAAGATCTTCCGGGCTTTTCTCTAAGGTTTCTGCTACGTCGCCATCACGTGGCTAATACTGATTACTCCGCTGCTAATGCCTGTATATGTCCCGAAGTAATCTCTCAGCATAAAAAATATATTTTTGTGAACATGAAAAGTATTGTGACTTAGATATTGATTCAATAACTGCTTTTCTTCGCCTCTTAATGTCACCTCACTAAATATTGTCATAATAAAAATCGGGATATCGTCGCGGAGGTTTTTTACTCGATGGAAGCAATTATACTCAATACTGTGGAAATGCGATAATTAAGAAGTATTTTTGGTGTGACTCTAAATGTTAGGGTGAAAGTTTGTGTGATATGTGTGTGATCCGCAAGACAATGTTGTGACCAGGATTAAGAAATGTATGCTTTGATGGTTAGGTCTTCACTTAGAAATAATGAATGAGAAAAAACTGACGAAGGAAAATGCTGCTGAAATGGTTGGTAGAGTCGGCAATGAACACCCTAAACCTAGACCAGGGGTCGGCAACCTGCGGCTCTTTGGATGTGAAGCTGCGGCTCTTTAGTTCCATATGCAAAATATTAATTATTTTATAAAAAAAAAACATTTAAGAATCGTTCTGAATCGATTAACTAGTATTAGGCACCATTTCTATCTCTCAGCCTCTTGTACCCGCTTTTCACCGCACACGAAATCTACACTGGGCCATTTGAAGTTGATACTGGATTTCTAAAAATGTATTTTTCTTATGAATAAACAGATAAATATTTTTATCAAAAACTTTATTTATGCAAGTACTATTTATGATTCGGGAAATTACGACACATCTTCTCGTCATGTATATATACCTCAAAACCTGAAAACTAAGTTGTACAACCAGTGCGTGTTGCCAGTGATGACATATGGAACTGAGACGTGGTCCTTCACTGCTGGCCGTATGAGGACGCTCAGAGTCGCTCAGCGAGCTATGGAGAGGGCTATGCTCGGAGTTTCTCTGCGTGATAAACTTAGAAATGAGGATATCCGCAGTAGAACCAGAGTGACACTAGATGGAGTGACGACCTGGTAAGACATGCAGGAAGTCGATGGATGCAGGTGGCTCAGGACCGTGCTTTGTGGCATACCTTGGGGGAGGCCTATGTTCAGCAGTGGACTTGTGAAGGGCTGTAATGATGATGATTTTGGTGAGAAAAAGTTTGTGGCCCTTTAAAAACTTTGAAATTTTGTTAATTGTAATTTTTGACTCTTCAGACTTAAAAAATCACAAACAAAATATTGACTATATGATTGTCTTTTCCATCATTGAGTGTTCTTTAAATTTGCAGGTGCGGTTATTGTAACGGATGTAACAACGTGTACAGTATTGCTGACAGTGCAAATAAAACGGACATTTAAGTTGCTTTGCGCGGTGGGACTAGGTCGGCCGATAGTGGGCCTTAGTTGGGTCCAAGCATGCCATGACACCAAGATGATTGTTGGTTAGTGAATATTTATGTAAAATATAATAAATTTGATGTCTTAAGGTGATAAACTTTTGAATCGATTAAAATAATTTAAAGTAATACGCCTACAGGAATTAAAATTAAATATTTTTGTTTCATATAGATCCTTGGAATTACCTTATTAAAGATGAGGCGACAGAGAAACGGTTCCAGTTTAACTTAGAGCAAACATTATCTGGGAAGAGGAATTTCTTGAAGGGATACAATGTATCATCAACACCCAATGTAATGCCCAGTGCTATGGAAATGAAATGTAAGTTTTTACGAAATAATTATTTTTTTAGTCTTAAGAGCAAAAACGAAAATGTAATAAGAGTTATCACTGCATCACTTTGTTGTTCGTCCGTCAGTTTTATCTATCAGGCACCTCTGTGAATGTAAAAAGTTCGAGTTTTTAAATCGATACGGACATTTATACATATCTAGTCTAATATTCGTAAACTCACTCAACAACTCTGATTGACAAGATTCATCTAATTTAGCAAGAGCAAAGGTCCCCCACAGCACAAGTAAAGGAAATAATTTAAAAATTGCTAATTTGTAGATAAACAAAAAGCTTACAAACAAATAAGAAAATCAGCTTTTTTGTGATTACAAACTTACTATTGCAGTTATAGCATCAATGGATGAACTATCTACATGTATTATTTTTCAAAGAATGGTCAAATTTTGAACTTAAGTTCAAATATATAAATAAAGATATACCGTTATTGCAGTTTTTGAAAATACTAGTAAATAAGGCTTCTGCTTTTATTTCAAATTATCCCAAATTGAATGTGATTTATGGGGAACAACGTTTTTGCCTATCGATCGACTGTTACGAATATGTGCGTGAACACGAATATCAGTTAAGGGGTATGTTCCGACACGTTTTCAGTATACTACCGTATAGAAATGACGTCATCAATTGACACTATATTGTACTGGCGTGCCGCCGCCATATTAAGTCGGATATCCGGCCACAATAAAACAATTTTTAATTGTGTATGCGCTGAATGAAGCATGCCAGAATTTGTTTTTATTTATTCAAATACAAAAAATTATAGAATAATTCCTGGTATCTCAATTAGGAGGATATAATGATTTTTGGAGCACAAAATGACAAAATAATCGCCAACACTTTTCCAATATGGCGCAAATGTATGACGTCATATACTGTCCTATGTTTTGGAACGAATCACCAGTAGAGCGTTATTCATGACGTCATTTGCATTCGGTTCTATTTTGGAACATACCCAAGATATTGTATTACCACGCATTTTGAATTTTAAAGATAAAAGGACAGAATGTTTGAGATATTTTTTTTTACTAATTTTTTCTTCACCATTTACTTATATTACTTATTCTGAACTTTATACGGAACCTTTGGCATGTTAATCGCACTTGTCAGTGTTTCTTGTTATTATTAAGAGACTTGTTACATTTCGGCGTTACGCAAATTTAGGTATTTTACGCTCCGAGTGGGCGATGACCTACTCGAGTGATAAATCGCTCGCATTATGGTACTGTGAGTATAGCCACTAAACGATCTTAATCTTCCATTATACAAGTTTTCTTAGGCGTACATTAGACGCTCATGCAGGCGTCAATCAATTTCATCAATCATGATTGATTAAAAACGGATGCTGACTGATAGGCGTACATTACGCGCTCATGCAGGTGTCAATCACTGCATTACACGGTAGGTTATTCGTCAATCACAACCGTGATTGTTGTAAAACTGACAGCCTACATGAGTGTGTAATGTACGTCTTAGGATGGAGTTCAGTAGACGGAAAATTTTTGGTGTGTCATTTTTATGTTATCTATATAATTTATTACGATCTATTTGATATATTTTTCATTATTTATGAACCTTAGTGTTAAAATAAGTACACATAAATATTAATTGTTTCACAGCAATCGATTGTTAACCGATGTTGGTTAATATTCGATTATATCTACTAACGGTAGTTTAGTGGTATAAATAAAGAAATAGTACGGTTGCAACCTGTTTTAATAAATAAAATAACCAACTGTAACAATTTTTTTTGTACTTACAGTCAATTACTATATTTTTATTATAAAAATATTTGCCGCAACGGCATGACTGAGTCAATAATTTCAGGCAGTTACACGCTTTTCTTTTCTTTAAAAAAACAACGTGACCCCACGCTAGGTTTTTCTCCTGTATCGTGAAAGCGGTTTACAAACGTAAATTGCACAAGAACAAACATCCAGACCCGGAACAATTATTTGTAGGCCATACAAATACTGGTTTCGTGCGGGAATCGAACCCGTGGCCCCCAGCGCAGCCACTCATTGCTAAGCCATTGCGCAACGGAGCCATCTACAAATACTTTTTATAAAACGCTTGTAACTTGGGTAACATATTCAAAATCCAATATTTGTCGTCTTTGTAGATTTTTAGTACTTTTACTTCATAATCTGGGCCAGTCCATATGGCAAGCATGCAGACATTTTATTCTCCATTATTTTTTCTCCAGAGATAGGATATTTTTTTTTACATTAAGTTACACATTGTTACTTGTATTTATTTTCCCCATTCTGACTGGTAAGAAAGCTTAGCTATATTCAAAATAACTATAATGAGTTAACTATCTGGTATAATAATAATGTGCGAACTTTATACTAATTGAAATATACTCTACGAAAGTAAATACTTAAGTAGTTTACGATGCTCTAGGCACATGTCTTCGAAATATTTTTTTTATCCTCAGACATGCAGGTTTCCTCACGATATTTTCCTTCGCCTCGGCGGTGGTAAATCAGTACATAAAATAGAAATTAATAATTTCATTGGTGCCGGCTGGGATCGAACCCGGGTTACTCGCGTTCTTTTATATTTACAGCGAGCGTTAACCATCTGAGCTACCACGGCTCTTCCATGTATGTATGTATAACACATGAAAAATCCGTGATTTTTTAACTATATATTTCTTTTTCAGTGATTGTAGAATGTTCCGGTGGGACGTGGAAAGAAGAAGGTCCAAAGTGGATCTGCGTTTCCTGTAGTGCAGACAAGTCCTTGTGGCCCGCGCTGAAGCGGAAAGGGGCTACAATAGTGTCCACGGAATTCATTCTGGGCGGTGTTTTGAGACAGAAATTGGATATCAATGGGAATAAGCTTGCGTGAATATTTTTTTAGAGCGTGTTTACCTATTTAAAGTACAAAATATCCGTAATACTATACTAGTTTTATATTTACATTTTGTATTAATTACTATGAATGTTGAATATTAATGTTGGATATGAAAGAGGATGTATGTAAGAATAGAGGGAGGCCTTAGAAAACATGGATGGACAGTATTAAGGTGATACCTCGAAAATTTGGTGGTTTTTCTATTTCACATATTTTTTAGTTTTATAGATTACAAACCAAAATTTTAGTATATGATTTTTGACTATATGACCTTGGATTTAATAAAAGGAAAACATATTCTTATCTATATCCTTATCGATATCTTGAAATTTTCTCGATAGAAAAAAATTACAAAGTAGGCTCTAATTAGTTATTTTTCCATGACACCACAATAATTTTACGGATAAGTTCATGGAATTATTTTTAAGGCATAGTAAATAATCATATCTAAGTTCTCATAAACCATTTTTTATATCCATAACGTAGTTTTGTTAGAAAAAATAAAAATGTTGTTTGGCGCTTACTTAGTTTTTTCCGAGCGTGTGCTCTGTATATCTATCTCATAATTTGCGTAATATGAAGTCATTGCATCACTTTCATTTTGACACTCCCTCATTCGTCCGTGAGCTTCACCGACAAAGGAATAAGCCACGCCCCCAAAACTACGATTCATTTTCAAGGTATCCGCTTAAGGCCCATTTACATGATGCCATTTTCTTGTACACATACAAGAGCAATTATTGAATGCAATTAAATAAGCGCATCAATTTCCATTCAATAATTGTAAGCAACTGTTTACACGCGGATGATTGAATGCAAGTCTAGACAAGAAATAATTACTTGCAAGTTTTGACTTATCTATTATACATAAGCGCCATTTACATGATGCAAGTTTCTTGCCTGTTGCATACAATAAAATTGAAGCAATAAATTACCTGCATGGTCTAAACAGTACGTAACATTTTGATCTTTTGCGCAAGTTTTGCTTGCCAAAATTTTCTTGGTGTAAACAGCACATACAAAAATTTCTTAGGCGATTCTTGCATTCAATTAGTTTTCTCTTCATTTGCCAACATGAGTGCAGTAAGTGAAGGTGTGTTAATCGTTGCTGCTCTTCTGAGACAAGAAATATTGAGAAATCGTCGTAAAAAGAGGTGTTGGATCAAAAAATGGATAGCAAGAAGAGGAGTTCTTGGAGCGTCTAACAATCTTTGTGTAGAATTACAAATATAAAATGAAGATGACTTTAAGAACATGTTTCGTGTCAACAGAACCCAGTTTTATTATTTATTAGATAAAATTGGTTCTTCTATACAAAGGCAAAATACAACAATGCGTAATGCTATTCCTGCTCGAACAAAACTAGAAATAGCATTAAAATATTTGGCAACTGGAGATTCGTTTGGTACACTGTCACAATTATTTAGAGTACCTAGGTGTACTATAAGTACATTCTTGGTCGAAGTTCTTGAAGCTATTTACTCTGTATTAGAAGATTTTATAAAGGTGAGTTCGAAATAAAACAGTTTTTATAATAGAATCATATATTTTCAGCAAAATAATTAGAAATTGTTAATTACTATTTATGCTCAGAACGAAAAATAAACAATATTTATTTATTATCAAAATATAAACTACGGAATCAGATATTTAATTAGAATAGAAAAAAAATTACATGTTCAACCATGTGTCTTCGCTGCCTTGTTTCGAATACGGGGATTCTGGCATTGGAGTAGAGTTTTGTCGTTCTTTTTCTCGAAGATCTTGCAGTTTATATTTTGATAATATTGCTTGTATTTCGTCCTGAGCATGTATGCTATTTTCGGTATTCAAAATTCGCAATGAAGACGCAACATATTTTCCGAAATTGTCCAAATCATCGTCTTTTTTTTCAAGTCTTGCTCTTTTTTTCAATAGTGTCCAGTTTATCTAAGGCCGATTCTATGTAACCTGCTTTTTTAGTTGTTTTTTTAGGCATTGGAAACGGAAGCACATCATCGACGACTTGTATATTTGAATTTATAACATTTTCAATATTTTCCGTATTTTCATTTTCAAAATATTCAAAAACTATTTCTTGTGATGCCAGGGACGTATCATTCTAAAAACATACATTTATTTCATTATTTTACAGGTGCCAAGATCTGAAGAGGAATGGAATCAAATAATAAGGGGCTTTTTTATAAGATGGAATTTTCCCAACTGCTTTGGTGCCATTGATGGAAAGCATATAAACGTAAAATGTCCCCCTGGCACAGAATCAGACTTTTTTAATTATAAAAGTACATTTAGTATTGTGTTACTAGCTTGTGTTGATCACGACTATTGTTTCACATACATTGACGTGGGAGCAAAAGGTAGAAACTCTGATGGTGGAATATTTAATAATTGTACTTTAAAGAAGGCTATTGAAGAGAATACCATAAATTTGCCAAGTAATGCAGTACTTGTCGGAGATGAAGCGTTTCCTTTAAAACCTTATTTGATGAAACCATATCCTCGCCGTAACGATTTAAGTAGAGAACAAAAAAATCTATAACTACAGATTTTGTAGATGTAGGAGAATCGTTGAAAATGCTTTCGGAGTTTTAACATCCCGATTTCGAATTTTCGAAAAGCCAATCACTACAAGTATAGACAAGGTAGATGTCATAGTGAAAACATCATGTGCTTTACACAACTGGCTTAGGAAAACTTCACCTGCGTCTTACACCCCACCAGGTTTTATAGACGAAGAATGTCAAAGAAGTGGTCTTCGTCTTGGTACTTGGAGACAAAATGCTTCAGGCGGAGCTTTTGAAAATATAACATCACAGAACAACAGGAATAGTACAAGGGAAGCTATAAGAATCCGTGATAATTATTGTCATTACTTTAACAATGATGGTGCTGTACCTTGGCAAGACAGTGCCATTTTTTAATGAAAAAAAAAGTTTATAATATTATATAATATTATGCACTTGACTGTACTTTAGAAAATTTACATAAATACATACTTACCATATTGGTGTTGTTTCTCTGTGTTCAGAAGTTTTCCTTAAAAAAGAATCCATTAAATTATACCAAGAGAGTTCGGACTTGTAAATATCAGCAGTACCGGAACCAGTGCTCATTGAATCTTTTATCTTTTTCCTTTCCGCATGATACTGCGTTCTTAAGTTTTTTATTTTGTTTGTAATTTCCTTAGGTCCCAAACCATCAACTCCAGATTCTTGTGAAAATGCTACAAGTGCAGCACTACGTGCATCACGATTCTTGTAATTCACATTTTCAGTGTCGCACAAACACTCATGACTGCGATAAATCTCAATAAACTTTATTAAGTCAGCAGAACCAAATTTTAACACTTTTTGACTCATATTTTTTAATAAACAGACTCTTTACAAAACCTTCCAACACTTGAATGAAAAATTTGACAACGCAAATACGTGCAATACTTGAAGCAACCCGCCAATAAATGGTACACGCACATACAACTCTCTATTTAGACAAGTCAAAACTTGAAAGCAATAATCTCCTAAACATTATTGTATTGGTCTAAAGAGAAGACATTTGCAACTATTTTTTGTTAAGACTTGCATTCAATAATTGCGTTCAATTTTTTTACTTGTATCCACGTGTAAACAGTTGCGTACAATTCTTGAAGGGCAATTAACGCACTTAATTTATTCCATTCAATAATTGCACTTGAATGTACAAGAAAATTGTATCGTCTAAATCACGCCACCTTGTACATGCCTGGGCCATTTTTTGACGTGTTGCTTCAATTATTGCACGTAATTTGCATTGGTGAATTTTTGATTCAAGTGTTGAACTTTTAAGGAGTGTTTATTAAAAAAATCAGTCAAAAGTGCTAAAATTCGGCTCTGCTGATTTAAGGAAGTATATTGAGATTTATCGACGTCATAAGTGATTATAGGATATTAAAAATGTAAATTACAAGAATCGTGAATGCTGCACTAGCAGCATTTGTACAGGAATTTGGAGTTCAAGTTATAGTTATAGTTGGAGTTCTAGTTTTGTGGAGTTCTGGTTCTAGTTTCGTCCGAGCAGGAATAGCGTTACTTGCCTTTGTATAGAATATTATTTTGCCTTTGTAAAGAAGAACGAACTATATCTAACAGATAATAAAACAGGCTTCTGTTAACACGAAATATGTCCTTAAAATCATCTTCGTTTTCTGTTTGTAAATCTACAAAAATATTGTTGGATGCTCCGAGAACTTCACTTCTTGCTATCCATGTTTTGATCAAACATCTTTTTTTTTTACGATTTTATCTTAATATTTCTTGCCTCAGATAAGCAGCAACGATCATCACACGCTCTGCACTCATATGTGCAAATGAAGGGAAAATCCAATTGAATATGTTTGTTGTTTCAATTTACATGCATATATTGTGTGCAACAGACAAGAAGCTTACATCATGTAAATGGCTCATTAAGGATGATATGCGTTACGGAATGAGTGAAGAGATGACTGCTAATAGACGAGAGTGGAAGAGCAAGGCATGCTATGCCAACCCTAAACAATTTGGGATAAGAGCTAGAGGGATAACATGACGTGGCGAATGTAATTACTGTACTAGAAGTGTAATTTCTCGTGTAATGTAGGATTTATGGAGCATTTGTTTCCGTGTTCAACTTTATATAGGTATGATCCTACTGTTAGATTAAAAAATGCAAATTTTTTAAGAGTTGGAAATATGTTTAAGGTTTATATATCACAATTAGATATAGTCTGAAGAACAGACAGCCTTCGAGGAGTAAATAAGCTCGAGTGACAATGTCGATCCGGTAAGTTAGGAATGAGCTAGGTAGAGGGCATCCTGGTGAGATGTGGTTGATGGATGGAGATGGCAGCCTGGTGCTGACGACATGTTCAGCGGTTGCAGTAATTCCATTTTAAGTCCACTGCTTAACATTCATTCGTTCTATAAAAGGTTTCCTATGCTGACCAACTCTCAATAGTAGTGTCGCACCCCGTCAACGGTCTAAAAGATTTTTGAATGAATTTAAGGCAACAGTCAGTCGTAGATGATCACGTACAGCTGACTAGCGCGCATTTCAAACTGCCAAATGAGAGAAGAGTGTTCCCGTATAGTAGTCCAATACAACAGTCCTTCTTCTTCCATCCCTGATCCCGTTATTTGGGGTCGGGTCTCCTCACTTGTCTGCGCCAAGACAAACGGTCTTGGGTTGTCACATCCGGCAACTGAGCTTTCCTTAGGTCTCTTGCGATATTAGACCACCATGTCATTGGCGGGCGTCCTCTGCTTCTCTTTGTTTCTGGCAAGCTTAGAGCTATTTGAACCGCATGATCTTCGCTGTCCGTCTTTTAATATGTCCATACCATCTTAGGCGATTTTCAATGATTTTATCTGTAATAGGTGCGACTTTAAAGCTGCCACGTATATGTTCATTACGGACTTTGTCAAGCCGAGTCACACCTCCCGCCCACCTAAGCATCTTCATTTCGTTAGTATGGACCTTTTGCTCATGCGTCTTTTTTGTTGTCCAACATTCAGAACCATACAATAGCACGGGACGTACTGCGGTTTTATATACTTTGTCCTTAGTTTTTATGGGAATACGTGGATCACCCCCTGTAAGTGATCGCCATTTCAGCCACGCGGCACTTATTCTATGTGGCCACGTCTGTGTCAACATTTGCATCTGTGGTAAGCATAGAGCCCAAGTATTTAAATTTATCTACTGTAGGAATAGGTGTTGTCCCAATACAGATAGTTTCAGATTCCGTGTTTCCACTGAAAGGGCATTTCAAATACTCAGTTTTACTCCTACTCACCCTCAGGCCGTACTTTTCAAGAGCGTGTGTCCACGTATTAAGAGTTTCCTGCAAATGGCTTGCGGTATCAGCAGCTAAGACAATGTCATCCGCGTATAGAATAGTCCATGGCAATGGGGCAGGTATATCCTTAGTGAGGTAGTCCATCACTAGATTGAATAGGAGGGGACTTAGAGCAGATCCCTGATGGACACCCACTTTGACTTCAAAAGCTTTACTCACGCCGGTTGGGCTTCTGACTCTCGTGTTGGCCTTGCAGTACATATCTTTTATAAGTTCGATATAATACTCTGGCACCCTTTGGGCACGAAGTGCCTGCCATACCAGCCTACGTGGAACTCGATCAAAGGCTTTTTCTAGGTCTATGAATGCTAGGTGTAGGTCTTTATTGTTTATTTTATGTTTTTCCATCAGTACTCTAATCGTTTGGATGGCATCAATAGTTGATCTGGATGCTGTAAAACCAAACTGATTTGGAGATATTTCAGCAATGTCAGTGAGCCGTTTATTAATAATTCGTTCCCATATTTTAAGTGTATGTGAGGTCAATTTAATACCTCTATAGTTTTCACACTGCGTTACATCGCCCTTATTTTTATAGAACGGTAGTAGATGGCTTTGACGCCAAGAGTCCGGAATGCGATTAGTCGTTAGAATAATGTTTAAAAGGCTTGGTTAACCATATTGCCGCTATTGTACCAAGGCCTTTCCATAGATCCGCTGGTATCTCGTCTGGGCCTGTAGCTTTTCGGTTTTTCATTTTGGCTATTGCCTGTTTGACTTCAGCTATATCCACCTTAGGTATTGGTCCAGATGTAGATTTGCAGGGTGTAGGATCTTCATTTGGAAACTCTTCATTTAATAGTTGTTTATAATATTCATACCATCTATCCATAATTTGTGAGTTGTTTGTTAACAATTTTTGGTCTTTACTTTTAATGTATTTGTTTGTCTTTATATCCCTAGTGGTCCTGTTTCTAAATTTTGCTACTTTTAATACTTCATCTACAGTTTTAGCATTATCCAAATTTTGTAGAAGGCTTGGTTGCTAATTGCTATTTCTATGGCTACACATTTCTTTGCCTGTTTCTTCGCTTCTTTATATGAGTCTTTGTCTTCATCTAGTTGCGAGCTTTGCCATTTCTTAAAGAGGTCTTTCTTATTCGCTAGAGTCTTCTTCACATTGTCATTCCACCAGTTAGGATCCTTCTCATTTCTGGGTGGTCCTTTGGAGACTCCAATACAACAGTCCAACAGAAAAATTTGAAGGAATACTTCATATTTTTCTTTTTAACCCCCATTTAAGAACCCATAATATGTAGTTACTACCTAATCGGAAAAGAAAATTAACGTTTCAAATTCAATAAAATAATTTGTGTGTACAATAATGAATACATTTTTATGAATTTTACAATAATTCTACTATACTATATTTGTTTAATGTAAAATAATATGTTTGTTTTTAGATATGGATTGATATTTTTTCAGTTATTACAAGAATTATTATTAAAGTCCATTCATTATCAACTCAGTTCCAGACTAAATTTTAATAAATCAAAGTAAATTTTATCCATGTAATACCAAGTCAATTAATTTATTCAGTCCCTACTTAAGTGTCCTTTTGTTTTAATTTATTACGTAATTAGCTAACTTAACAACATTTTATAGTGACCATATCAATGTTAAAATCTTTTGTTATATATATATATATATATATATATATATATATATATATATATATATATATATATATATATATATATTTGCCATCGCATGAAAACACAATGTATCTCACAAGTAATACGTATTATATTAAATTAGATTGCTTAGTGCGATTGCCAAGTCAATCTATATATTTTAAAACATAAAAGATTTTTAACATTGATATGGTCACTATAAAATGTTGTTTGGATAGCTAATTACGTAATAACTTAAAACAGAAGGACCCTTAATTAGGGACTGAATAAATTAACCGACTTGGTATTACATGGATCTCACAACTTTTTACGGTAGAAGAACTGAGTTGCGAGACTTGTTTTTTTTTACAAGTTATGTTTTTGATGGCATCTCATTTCTTTTTGTAGATAAGATAGTCCTACTTTTTACCTTTCCGGTACCTTCTACTTCTTGAATACCAACAACGTACCTATTTACACCTATTATACATATACAAGTACACTGATTTATTCACTGCAAATATAACTATGTAATTCTATATATTTATACGGGATTACAAAGTTATTTATGCAGTTGGTGTATCTAGAAAACTGGACTGAAATTAAAAAACATTTTAGTTTTTCCTTGATTTATACACTAAACACTAATTGTATTTCAATTCTTCTATGTCTGCTAGAAGTGTTTTAGAGTTTTGATGATCGGTCAGTTAGTGAGTGACAAAATTAAGAAACTTTGACTAGTTATAATTCTTAAACTACTCGTTCAAATTGAATAAAATTTGAAATATACCATGTTTAAACAATGCCTACTCGGCAGGCTTCTAGTTTTATCCACTACGAAGTTATAGGAGGCTTGAAAATGGGTTGAATTGCTTCGAGAAAAGTATGGTACGGCCGTGCCGCTTTTTTGCTCGACTTGGCGGGGGCACTGCCGTGCCCCAGATCCTTTTATTCCTATGTTATTGTGTGCCATTTTATTTTAATAATTTGCTTAGTTGTCGCTGGCGATTTTAATTTGTAGGAATAGTTAATTTTCAAGGCTGAACTCATGTTTATTTTAGCCTCCATCTTAAACCTATATGTCTCTAATTCCAATTTTTAAATGTTAGCACCTCAGAGCGTATTTTAGCTTATGTATTAAAATTTATGAATACTATTGATAAAGATCGGAAAGGAAATTTATTGTAATTGATGTTTATAAGTTAGTGTGTTAATGTTCTCAAAGTACGGGCTGCCTTTGCACCTGTCATTTAAATTTAAATTCTTATGTTTCTTTTGAATTTATTTTGTATTTTAATTGTACAATAAAATTATTTCATTTAAATTCCCTGTCTTGTATGTATTTAGTACTGTACCACTTGTTTTCCGTTTGTTTGTTTATATTAAAATACGTAATGTTGTATTCGAAACATTTGACTAATAAATGTAGGAATAACATAAAAAGTTTTTTGCAAGTAACTTTGTGACACTAAAAATTCAGAAACAAATATAATTCTTGGCTCATGGGCATACATTACCCGCCCTTAAATATTAGATTAAGAGCGAACGTTTTATTGAATGTTTGTTGTAAGCTTTTCACGCTAAGCACTGTGAGTTTAGTATTCATAATTAGCTGAAAACAATATCGTTTATTGTAATTGAATACATAAATACCATGTAGATAAATCATCACTGCATTTTATCTAAGTGTACTGCTGAATATAGGCTTCTTCCATAGATTGTTACATAGGGTGGATCATAGAGGAAAGTAATAGGGTGGATATTTGCCACTATAGTTACCACGCTTGGCGGGCGGGTTGGCAACCATAGTTTTTTATTTTCTAGTTGTTATTAGGAAGACGTTGCTGCCAATCTCCAGGTTTGTTTCCACTCTTTTGTTACGACATCCACGGGATGATACGGGGCAGTGGATATTCTTAAACCGCCACTAAAAAGTTGGTTGTATAAAAGCTTTTTTGACATGGGGCCAGCTGCCTATCTCAAATTTTTCGGGTATTAATTTGTACATATGTTTGCTATCATTTTTTTATAGAAGGTGACAAAGGAGCACACAGGCCATCTGATGGTATGTGGTTGCTGTGGCCCATAGATGTCTACATTAATCCTCCAGAATCAAAAGGCAGATACTTTGTCACGCCATGTCTCGTTTCCAGTAAAAAGGGTCTCCGGTTCTTTACACTCACCATACGAAACGCAGCAGCATTGATATGTTATTTTACGCTTGTATAAAAATCTTAAACTTAAGAATGTACTAATTTACTTCTAAATCATCATCGTCGGCCAAAATTAGTGCATTAACAATATCCTTTTAGCGCAGGCAGATCTATCTAGCAGAGAACTATCAAGCCTTAGTTGATCTAGGTATGTTCTTATTCCAATACTGCATTTGTATACGCCATGTCTATTGATTGTCATGACTAAACGTTGAATGATACTTGTTGTCTGATCAATTTTCCCTTTATTTTGCGTCGATTTGTGTAAATAATAAAGAATTCAAGTGGCACAGTAAAGATTATTATGTTCTATTTTTAAATTTGTAAATAACTTTCTTAGATTTAAAATAAATATGACAACCAAATCGTTCTTTTTTATTCTTCCTTTTTCTATTTCTTTACAGACATATTTGTATAGGAAATATAAAAGATAATCATTAAATTTAAATACTGAAAAATAAAAGTGTTGAATATGTATCTTTGACAATGACAATGACGACAAATAAATGTTATCGAATTTGTGCTATATCAGGCCGGCGTTGTCTTTACAAACATATTCCTATGATTTCCTCCTTGATAAGGACTCGAGCGTATATTCTTTACGATACAATTTATAGGTACATCTACCATGTTCCTGCTTTTAGTTTCTTACGGTTAATTATTTTAAAACCTAAGACCTAAACTTAACCTTTACCAAAATTGCCCAGTTATACCGCCATTATCTGACATCCAGCAAACGTATTTACCGTATAAAAACATAAAACAAAATCAAGTGGGCATAGCCACAATTCTTTTTATATTTTCATAGAAAAATAAAATCAGAGGAGGAAACGGGAACACGAGACGTTAATTTTGTCAATTCATAGGACAGCATGATTCGTTAAAGATTATATAAAAAAATGTCTTGCCGCTTTGCATTTCCTCTCACGATTATCGCTCAAGTATGTTCATATATATAGCTCACTATTTATTTGTGTCCGTCTTCCGACATGATGGCCTTACATTATCATATCTTGTAATTTTTGGGGGTGTAGTTTCAGTCCTTGCGCTCCACTGAAATTGTTATCTGCGATTCTAAGTGCAGATTTATAGTGCGCACGGCAGCGAAGGAAAACGTCGGGAGCATGGGAAGTTTAGTCTACAGTCACGGCTCAAGAACTTAGAAATACAAGGCCTGTACTCAGTTCTGAGAAGGATGTAGGTTTTAACTTTATTTCTACATTTTATGTTCTTGTCGAATTTAGGCTCGACTGCAAAAAAATTGGCAAAATTTGAATTAGGAAACACTTAAGGCAATGGCCGATTTAAAAGCGCAAAGGTCAATTTATAAGATTTTCGAAGTGAAAACTTCTTTAGGATCGTTGTGCTTTGAAAGTCTACGAAATGAAAAAGCGACAGTAAAAAGAGACACACATAAATTCATAAGATTTAACGTGGGAGAATATGAGATAGGAAGTATTAAAGCTAAATTCTCGCGAGAAAAAAGTCGTAAACGCCGCCGAAACGGCGTCCCTTACGCGTTTTGTTCAACAAGGTACGAAGTTGTCGTGTGCCTATGGAATAAACAAGCAGTGAAGAACGGCCAAACCTCAACTTCGTAATAGATAATATTGATATAAATCGTTGTGTAATTAGTAAATACTATATGAGGCACATCGAAAAGAGTAAATATTCGAAGGGACATTAATCTGCCCGTAAAAAATTAGTAGTTGTCCCGTACTTTTAAAAGTCCATTAACAGTATAAAAACTATTATTTTAACAAGAGTCAATACCATTTGAAAACGAAGAACCAATCTATACATGGTAGTGTTTAGTTATAGGTATTTGATTTGGTTTAGTTTTGTCACAAAATGTACCGAGAAACAGTATAATTTTGCTCGATTTGCAAACGCGTCCTGAAACATGGTCGGATTAAAATATGTCGTTTAAATAAAATAAGTAATAAAATAAATGAGGAAGAAGAATAAATTTTTATAGTAATGATGTACAAGTAATACCAATTTGATTAAAAAAAGAACCATCAAAACCGGTAGCAGGTAGTTTCGTGCGTTTCCCATCTGTATTGTTCACTTTTCATAATCTGTGGTTTTCATATAGAAATGGCAGCTACGTGGCTGCGGCAGTAAACAGTAAAAAATTAACAAATACAATTAACCATATTGAAAATAAAATATTCATTAAAAAATTCATGATTTCATAAATTCAGTCTATCTAGCGTCCATTTTACCAACTTGGGTGTCAATCAGTTGTTCGATAAAGTGACTACCTATAGAATGATGTAGGTAGTGCTATTATAATTTTACTCGAAAGAATATAATATCTGTGTGTCTAATAAATATATTAAAAGGATTGTAACATTTATTTACAATAAAATTAAATTTTATTATATTTTATGCCGAACTTGTAGTTTAAATTATAATATTAAATTAATCATTTGCCGTAAAATATTTGTATTTTATATTTCATTACATTTAGTCGCGTGTGAGCTGCACGCATGCATTTTATATGTATATTCATTCTAATTCAGTTCAAGTTACCTTAATAAAGGACAGACACATTATATTTAATTGGGTTCCTTATATGACAGAAAAAAAATCATTAAAACTTTAAAGCATTTTCGTTCAAGCTGTTCGACCGAATTCACCTTTTCTATCTTGGTTATGAAGGAAAGAAAAGAAACAACTTTGTGCTTACATATAATATATTTATATTCAAAATAATGACATACAATTGCGATTGTGTTAACATAAAAATACAATGTATTTCACGGAATGTGACAAACAAAACTCAATTTGTATAGAACTTAGCACTTTAATAAAAAAAATACATATAATTATTTAACCCTTAAGTGCATAGTTTATCAAAACTGATAATACGGTTTTCTAGACTCCTAATTCCTGAACGAAAGTCGTTTAACCGGAAATTCTGATTTCTGAACGTGTCGTTATATGTCATAGACTCGTCTGTGATTGGTTCATTCAAATACTTACATGTGATTGGTCCAAAGTTTAAAGTTTCGATGACAGCGCAGACAGTTTGTAGAGTAAAACGAATTCGTAATTTTCATCCGAAGAAATCTTACAAATAATAGTGTGTTCAACTAATAAAAAAATTATTTTTTGGAAGGTTAGTATCTATATTTTGTGTCCATGTTTTAATTTTTCAATAAAATTGTACATTTAGTAAAATTTTTGGGCTTGAAGTTTGTTATCAAAAATGATAATGTATGCAGTAGCGGTAAAACTTTTTCGATATATGGGTTTATTATTTTTTAATGTTTTTTTCGGATTCGTTTCTTTATTTAAGTTTTTTTTTAAACAGATATTTGTTTTTAGGTTTCTAGCAGCGGACAATGAATGACGAAGACATTTCGACACTCTTATGGCGGTTAGAAAATGGAGAGGTATCAGAAGATGAAAGTGATCTAGACGAGGATGCCTTAGACTATTATGATAATGTCGGTGAGTTGCAAGCAGATCTTGAAAGAGAGAACCAAATACTAGAAGAAATATTGACCGAAAATGATGGGACAGCCCCTGATCCTCCACTAATATTTGATGAACTAGTAGAAAACCAGCCCCATTCCAACGCCACTCCTAGTTTACGGGATTTGATATGGAAAAAGAAGAATTTGGATTTGGTGGATCAGGCTTTTACATTTCTTGGATGTACTGACTACCCTCCGATTATTATGAATTTATCTACTCCTTATCAGTATTTTTCATACTTTTTTGATGAAAGTTTACTCGCAAGAATCGTTACTGAATCTAATAAATATGCCATACAAAAAAATATTAATTTTTCTGAACCAATGACAGTTCTGGAACTGAGAAAATATATTGGTATCTTGATTTATACTTCGGTATATCACTATCCTAGTATAAGATCCTACTGGGCAAATAATGTAAGATTCCATCCAATAGCTGATACGATGACCGTTAACCGTTTTAAAAAAATACGGGAAATTCTTCATTTTAACGATAATGAAGGTCACTTACCCCGTGAACATCCTGAACATGACAGATTACACAAAATACGAACAATAGTGGTCCACCTAAATCAACGATTCATGTCAGTTCCTTTTGATCATAGACTTTCATTAGATGAGCAGATGTGCGCAACTAAAATTTCGCACTTTATGAAGCAGTACTTGCCCAACAAGCCTCATAAATGGGGCTTCAAATTGTACGTGCTCTGTTGTCTGATGGGTTACGCATATTCATTTGAAATTTACTCAGGAACTCATGACTACAAAAGACTACCAAATGAGCCAAATCTTGGAGCAGTTTCAAATACAGTGGTGCGTTTGCTTCGACCTGTACCGAGAAAAGTAAATCATATAGTGTACTTTGACAACTTTTATTCAAGCCTGACTCTGTTTCATCATTTGCACAAGGAAGGCATATATTGCTTAGGTACAGTTCAAAGAAACAGATTAGGAAAAACCTGTAAGCTACCAAAAAAGGAAGATGTACAGAAAACATCTGTACCAAGGGGTTCGTACGACGAGAATGTTGCTTCTCTTGATGGTGTTGAGTTTGCAGCGACTAGCTGGAAGGATAACAAACAGGTCTTGCTGTTATCTACGTATGTAGGTGCAAATCCTGTGGGTACTATTAGCCGCTATGACAAGAAGCAGAAAAAAAACATATCAATACCATGTCCGAAAGTAATTGAAGAATATAATGCACATATGGGGGGTGTGGACACAATGGATAGTTATTTAGGGCGATATAGGATCCGAATGAAGTCCAAGAAGTGGACCAATAGACTATTCCAACATATGCTGGACATGGCGGTAATAAACAGCTGGATTTTATACAAGAAAGTTTCACTGAAAAAGAAAACAAATCCAAAAAACATTTTAAAACTTGTTGATTTTCGGACGGAGCTAGCTGAAACTTTGTGCAAGTATGGGGCCGTATCTGAAAATAAAAGAGGCAGACCCAGCATGAATAGACAGGAAAATACGTCAAAAAAAGAGACCAAAGATTGGTGCACAGACATTACCACCAAACGACGTCCGTACTGATGGAGGTGGACATGACAAAAGCTACAACACTAAGAGAAATCAGTGCAAATATGCAAATTGCAAAAAAACTAACTTCTGTAATGTGTACTAAGTGCAAAATATCGCTTTGTGACAATAGAAAAAATAATTGCTTTCAAGTTTTTCATGCTATGTAAAAATAAAATAACATTAAGTATAAAAACTTGGGTACTTTATGTTTTCTAGTATCACTAAGCAAAAAACTTCTTAATGCATAGTTTATCAAAATTGATAAAAACTTTTTTTTGCCAATAAAACTTTTAATATACAGATATAATTTTTTTTATTATTTTTCCTATGATCAGGAGGTCACGCTTTAACACATATATTTTATTCTTTCAAAAATAAAAATTCACGCATCTAAGGGTTAAACTTGGCGTCATCTAAAATGCTAAGCATGAATGTACAAGTCGAAAATTACTAAATATTTGATTACGACACTTATATAATTTTGTCAACAATGAAAAAAAAATGTTGTGCTCTCGTTTATTTTGCTAAATTGCGATTGTACCTAAATTACTGGCCACATAGTGATAACATAATAACTACTTACGGTTAACGCTTAAGTCTAGTCATCTGTGCAGAACAGAATATAGTGCACCAATGTGTGCACAAGTACGAGTGTACCCTCATTCTCACAGTCCGAAGGGATGGCAATACTACCCAACCATAGACAACCATCGACCAAACGAGCACACTTACCATCAGGTGGACTGTGTGCTCGTTTGTCACCCTAACCTATAAAAAAAGGCTTGTTCAGTATTATGGCAGAAATGACGAACTTATTTGCTGCTCAGTCAAATATACATTGATTCAAAACTACTTATTCAGAAGAATTAGAAGTTTTGTTCGGGCTACATTTGGCCACAGGTGTATTTAGTTACCCTTGCTTGAAAATGTTCCGGGAAACTAACATAAGCATGCCCTTGTTCAAGGACAATATGTCAAGGGATCGTTTTTTTTTTGAATTGCGTAATCTTTTGCACCTTGTTGACAACACAAAAATACCCGCTGGTTGCAATGATGCATCTTGGAAATTGCGACAAATGTATGAAGCTGTCAGAAGACGATGCTTAGAGTTACCACTTGAACAACAACTTTGCTTTGATGAGCAGATAGTTCCTTTTACTGGACAACATGTTGCCAAGCAATATGTTAAAGGAAAGCCTTGCCCATGGGGCCTCAAAATTTACTTCTTATGTGGTAAGCATGGGAAAGCTATGCTACTACATAAGAAGCCATTATACTATACCAAAGCTCTTCTCTCGAATTTGATAGTAATAACATAAAAAAATTTGGATACAATGCCTCAACAGTTTTACATCTAGCAAAGAGAATCGAAGAAAGCCAAGGTCATGGGCTCTACTTTGATAAGTATTTTTCCTCGTGTCATCTGTTACAAATTTTTTAACAAAAAGAAATTATGGCGGCATAAACAGCACGTGCCAATAGATTTGTTAACCGTCGTTTTTAACTGACAAATGAATAAAAAGCCAAGGGTTTTGCTCAGGAAATAACTAGCAAAGACGGAAATGTTACTATGATAAAGTGGTTAGACAATAAAATTCACCTTGCGTCAAATTTTATAGGTATCGGTGAAAAAGATCAAGTACAGAGATGGTGCAAAAACCAAAGCGATACATTAAAGTTGAGCTGCCCAAAGTCGTAAAGCATGATGCAAGATGGGCTGAGTAGATCTTTTAAATCAGCTCATGAGTTATTAGTACTACAGAACTTTTATAAAGTCAAAAAATGGACTCCGCGGATGATATTTCATGCATCGGATCTGTCAGTGGTTCAGGCGTATCAAGAGTACCAAATCGATAACGACTTATTGCGTATACCAAAAAAGAGGTCAACTTAATTTGCTTCACTTTCGTCGTCGATTGGCTGACAGCTTGGTACTTCAAAATAAAATTGAAAACTATTGGCAAAAGAGGTGGACCAAGTAGAAGCCCAGGGCTACAGATTGTACCAAGACGGTCAGGAGACATTCGCCCTTCAAGTGAAAAAATAGGGGGTGAAGATGTTTTTTTTTTTTTGGAGTATAATTTTGTTAATTTTATAATAAATAATTAAAAATTGTTTATATATTACTAATAAAAGGTTCCTAAATTAAAAATTCGTCTCTTTTTCACATCAAATGTTTTAAAATATTATATTTATTGTAGAGCGGGAGGCCGCATTAGTGGACATAAAGAAAAACAGATTTTTCTTGAAATGTTTAAAACTAGGAATTTTTTCGTTATTTTTTACTGATTCCTATCACCACATTTCAGTTACATAAAATTTACTAAATTTATCAGACGAAAAATTTTTTCAGGTCTGAGATTTTCTGAAAGAAATAGTTCTTAGTATTTATACTTTTATATCTTTGATTTTTATCCTACTATCATAATTTATTAGCAGCATTTATTTCTGAACCTTTTATTTGAAAATATTATTTCGGTTTTAGGTACAAACCCTCAAGCTTGCCGTAGTTTCCGCAGTGTGGACACAGGTAATAAATTTCTAGCATAGAATATATCTTGCTTCAGGCTTGACAATACGTAAAATGTGGCGTATGTATAACGCTGCCCGTGACGAGGATTTGAGAGTTAAACAAAGTTTTTTCAGACACGTTTTAATACTAAGTATAATATAGGCTTTAATAATCTCAGGAGAGACGTGAGTTCAACATGCAATGACCTGTTAGAACGCTTAAAAACGGAGAATGACACTTCAAAGAAAAATGTACTTATGGTCGAAAAAAGAATTCATCGACTTAAATACAATATTATGCAATATTGCAAAAAGAAAATTAAATTCTTCAAACCATAACTTTCGTTTGCCAAAAAATCAGGCAATGCTCAAAGTTCCATATCAATCTGCCTGTTTCAGTCGTCAAATCAACTTTTACCACTTCGCCATTGTTCTGGGAAATTCAAAGGCTAAACTGGACAAATATAACATTCATTCCTACTATTGGGATGAAACTTCCCACTGCAAAGATAGTAATGAGATAATTAACGCAGTGTACGATTTCTTGAAAAACTTAGAATTTGGAGATAAAAATAAAAATTCCACGAATAGTGACGACGGTAGCGCCGGGCAAAACAAACATACAGGCATGAACATGATAGCTCGTTTAGCTCGTTTAATAAATGGCTGTGCACAGAAGCCCCAACAAATATCAAAAAACTAGAGCTGATCTTCCCTGTTGTATGTCACTCCTTTATACCTCCAGGCAAGTTGTTTGCCAGAATTGAGAAAACATTAGGAACTAAAGAAGTGATAACCTTTCCATCCGAATATGCAGCTGTCTTAGATATGTGCAAAGATCTAGCATCAATTCCTGTATCTGATCGGAAAAAAGTTACGAGTTCATCATTAAACCTACTACGTCTTGGTATTTTCAGTTTATGAAAACAAAAGTTTTTATTACAAGAACGAAATCAGAAAACATTTTAGTACAGCATGAAGAGACGTATAAAAACGAAACACGCAAAAAAAAACTATCACAAAAAATCACTAAGATATCACCTCAATCTCAAGTAATCAAGCCAAATCCTGTTTACATAAAACAAGCAAAAATTCAAGACGTCGATAGACTTCTTAAAAACACTGATATACTGAGAAGAGTATACTTTATATCTTTCGGGCATTTAGCATATTTTAAGAAGAAGGACTTTGTAAAACAACTTCTTGCTGGTAAAAATATGCACACCTCTTTACCGCTACTATTTTATCAACTTGCCGTCTTCGCTCGCACAGACCTTGACATTATGGTTAATTTTTTTAAAACCGTGTTTTGTCAAATTTTTTAGTATTAAGTGCATATGACTTAAATATGTAAATAAATAGATAAATTGTAAACATAAGATTTTGTGTCAGTCAAGTGTCCATATTGGTCTTCCGAATAAAGATTTTTGTTATTCAACTCGTAACAAAAAGAGCAAGTTGAAAGTTGAGGTTGAGGTTGTTTGTATTTTCCGTATGGATTTCCACATGAGGAAGAGTTTAAGGATATTTTTTTAGTGGGAAGCACCTTATTTCAATAAATAGATGACATCAAGCCCAATCGCTTAATGTCATTTTTACAGATGGATCGTTATATTAACAAAAAATTGTGAGGATACTGACGTCAGAAGGACTAACACGAAACTTTAAATGGAATAACAACTGGAAATAATATGAACACCGCCACCAAGTAGTTTAAAGTGCTTCATTATTTGAAGACGAAATAAATAATGAAGGCTCATCTTGTTTGCAAAGTAGGAAAATGTATTGATAGCACGTAATAAACGACAAACAATTGTTGATAATCCAGTCAAACGAAAATTATTGAGATCATCTGTATACCATTATTGTTAACTCAAGAAAATTCGTATACCTAGCTGAACTGAAGGCAAAGGCAAAGTTGGGCGTAAATGATTAATAAAGGAAATATGTTTTTTAAATTAGACCTCACAAAAGTTTCACACAAAATGAATTATTGTTAATGTGGTTTCATTTCATATCATTCACGTCATGCAGATCTTTGAAAAAAGCCAAAAATTAAATTCTGCCAGGGTACATTCAACAATATTATGGTGAAGGATTATTTTGAAAAACTCGACCACATAATGGAGAAGTTGCAAGGTATACTGCTATAAACATACCTTTTTATTACCTAAAATGACAATGGCGAACTCTCAAACAATTTGCTGACATTTTTTTCTTGCGTCTACAAATGAAAAATATACAAGTATAAAATCCTGATAATTTTTTTCTTCAATGATACCACTACAGCAAGACACGAATTCCATGATACACACTAGGCTGTACGATATAAGAAATTTGCCTGCTGTAGTTGGCAAATTGTTACAGCAACAAAAATTAGTCATTAGTAGAGTAATTACTAGCATAGAGAGGATTCTAAAATTACGCATTAGTAGAGTTTTGTGAATAAAATGCACTTCAGACTAGATTGTATGGTATGAGACCTTCGCCTGCCTTAATTGGCGAATCGTAATTACTTTAGTATTAAATTATGTTTTTTTTTTCAGACCGATAGGCCATAATCTTGATTAGATAATACATAGTAAATTATTTAATTGATATCTGTCATGGTGACATAAGTAGACGCATAATAATTCCATAACTTTGTATGCCCTGCTGTTAGGTGTTTTTAACCATATTTGTTGACAATTTCTACATGACTCCGGAGGCAGAAGATAGATACCCAATCTAATGAAACTTCATAATCTATTTACACTCATAGTTTAGCAGTTTAGTTTCTCCATACATATGTGACACTCCAAGTGGGCACATTGCGTCTAAAATAATTGAAAAAAGTTACGGTCATTTTCGAAAACTAGTTACTTGTTTTTAAATTGGACATCTGACCACCAAAACAAAAAATCCTTATAAAATGTCTATTCCGTATGACGCTTACCTTAAACATTTCTGGTTTAGGAAGTTAGAAAAGGGGGGTGGGGGAAGGACGTCTCGAGACATGATTTGTCTTACCTCACCCTGGCACACACAAATACTCATCTGTACATACATTTATGTACATATTTGTATCGTAATATCCTTATAAATACAATATTTACGATTTATTTACATTCATATTGCTAACGTAATTCTAAATAAATTGAAAACTGCATAATGTATCACCCTGTAGCTGTAAACAAATAAATAGCACTGGTCTTATGAAAGTTACGCCTCTGGATTCTTTCGCATTAGCTCCAAATCAGCATCCACCATATCCTTAACTAGTTGTTCAAACGTGACCCGAGGTGTCCAGCCTAGTTTCTCCTTCGCTTTACTTGGGTCACCTAACAGCAGGTCCTGAAATAATTTATAATATTAGTGACAAAAGAGCCAACAGTCTATCTGGTACGTGGTTGTTGCAGCCCATGGACAAGTCACTGCGGGTTCGAATCCCGCACGGAACAAGTATTTGTATGGCCTACAAGCACAGATTACTAAATAGTTTACCAACAGATACATCACTTCCATACAAAAGCGAAAATACCTACGCTATAATAGTCTACAAAATCTTAATAATAACATCTGCTACTCGAAGCGAGAAGTAAATGTAAGTAGGCGCACAAAAAGTCGAGATTACGTTGCCCGCCGTGCGACTCACGTGCAAGCACGTCACCTCACGAATGCGCTAGGGTTGTACGTATGACGATTATTGTAATAAAAAAAATGTTACGAAATACATAACCATATTTTCTATTTGTCAATTGATTGATTGATCAATGTTTGAGTTTTATAAAATGATTTATACATTTTTTCCTTCTCTGAATTCCCAGTTACTAAATTTTATCGTTGAAAATATCCTAAATCGCGTAAATAGTTTTGATAAATAATCATGAGGAAAACAGGAGCAAAGCAGAGGAAAATCAATGGTTTGTAAAATTTGCAACACGGTGCTGCCAAGCCGATTCATTATGACGTTGTCAAAATTATTTAAGAATGCTCTTTCTAATTGTTCAGTATAATTATTAAACGTTTCTGGGAGGACTTTTAGCCTACCATAAAAACATGAATCTTTATTATAGGCTTTGAAATGAGTATACAGTGTTGTTTCATCAACATTAGCACAGATTACTAAATAGTTTACCAAACATTAAGTTTTTCCTGTAACAAAGCATTGAAGCTAGTGCAGTTATATTTTTTTGCTACACTTATATAATAAATACCCTGATACATAAGTCAACGCAAAAAAAAACAATTTTTCATTTGTTTTTTGACTTTGACACCCATCCACTTCACAATAATTACGTGGTTTTGGCATTTCGACGAGTAAGCGCGGGAAATGTGCGCGGTGCAAGCGCTCAGGCGGGCGTGCGGCGGCCCAATGTGAGTAGTATCGTAGGCGATACGCAGAGCGAGCTAGAGCGAGTGACGGAGGCCCGCTACAGGTAATTGTTCCGGGTCTGGATGTTTCTACTCTTATGAAATTATGTATGTAAGCTGAACCCACGATACAGGAGAAATTCCTAGTGTGGAGGTAACGTTTCATAACAATTAAATAAGTTATCACCTTTGAGGACTTAAATAAAATGTCTTACACATGTAATTATATTGTGGTGAATTAATCTTACTAATCCATTAGACTATATCGGTTAGTCTGGTTCTACTGCGGATATCCTCACTTAGTAAGTCACTGAACTCCGAGCATAGCCCTCTCCATAGTTCGCTGAGCGGCCTTAATTTTAACAACACGCACTGGTTGTACAATCACGAGTTTGGAGATGGTCTCCTATAAATTACAATATTATAATTTTGTGTTTATACAAAATTATATTTATTCAGAACGACGTCGACTCGACTGCGGAATGACCACGTTCTTACAGACGTGAAACAGCAGCTTAATGCAGTTCTGTTTGGTGTGGTTAGTGTAAAGAACGGGAGACTCTTTTTAGCCGCCTTAAAAAGGGGGAGAATGTATGTTCTGATTACTTTAGGGGTGATCAATTTTATAAAAAAGAAAATTAGTTGGAAAACTTTTTTTTTTTATATGTGTTTTTAATATTTTTATGTTTTCTAAGTTCTCAGGGGTGACAACATCTACATTTCGGTTTTAATGGAGTCAAGTAGACTGTATGCTTGTTTGTTACTCTTATTTTATTTAAAAAAAACCTAGTACTACATGTTTTTTAGAATTACAGTACATTGGACTGTCAAAGAGCTGATTAGATGGAGGAATATGTGTTAAGGTAGATGTTGGTGACAGAAAGAATTAGGTAAACAATTAGTATCCATTTGTAATTTTCACTTTCAGCGTAAAGAAAATGCATTACACCATCTCCTTCTGTCAGGAGTAGCGTATTTCCCTTTGGACCAAGGGGGCCTCGGATCCTCGGAATTTACTCATTAGGATCTTTAATAAGGTACTAAACACAATAATTAAATCATCATTATTTTTAGTAGCATTAAAATTCAGTGATAATTTTTCATTACGTCATATAGCCTGCGGAAGAGCATGGTGCTTCTACGTAGGACACTCAATAAGTTTTGAGATATACAAAAGTATTCTAGATACTATTAATATTTATTTTACATGTTTTCAAAATATTATCCATCATGCTCTATATAAAGTTCCATTCGCCTAAACCAACCACTTTTGCCAGTCTTGATCTGACAGGTCGGAAATCGCTTCTTCGTAGGCAGCCACGGCTTCTTCGGCGCTTGAAAAAAACTTGC